CAGCATTATCAGATGCTTCCTTTTCAACATTTATGGAGCAGTATGCACCTATGATGGGTTATGAGATCTCTTACGACAAGTACTATGAGTTCAAACTGGATATTGACCAAGTTCTCAAGGACAATGAACACCTTGGCGCAGAAAATTTCTTTGGAGCAGAGGATCCTCATATGGTGGACGATGATCCAGACACTCCACTTCCAGATCTTCAAAGACCAGGCGCAGGTGATCCTGAGTACAAGCATACCATTGAAAGTTTGAACATTGAGGACAAACATATCATTTTGGAAACTGATGATGACAAATTGGTTGAGTGTACATTGAAATGGATCAGTATGTGCAATCAGAATGTTCAACGAAAGATCAAGGAAAGTTTTGTCAAACCAGAAGAAGGACAAGAGAAAGAAAAGGATGAAGAAGAGAAGATTGCTGACGAAGAAAAAGAAGAAGAAAAAGACACACAGGAGCCACATGTCCCAGCTGAAGGCTCTTCAGAGAAAGAGGAATCAGCTCCACCTGAACGCTCCTCAGAAAAGGAGGAATCAGGGGAGAAGAAGACAGACATTCAAGATGATGAGACAGCTCCTGAAGTGAAACCTGCAGTTCGACTTTACTATGGTCAAGATATCACTGGAAACGAAGATGATTCAGTTTTTCGAAGATTGAAGGATTGTTTTTCAGATGGTTACCATGGTGAATGGGCAGGATTTTACAACAAAGGTTATCCAGCGTCTTCGAAGCATCGACATATGTTTTGGCATGTTAAGTACAGGAAGACCATGTCTCCACATCATGATTTTTGGTACCATCTTACAGATGACCAGTTGATGGTTGAGTACATTGCCAGACACAAGAATCAGGATCCACAACTAGAATTACAAGAACTTAATCAGCGCATTGAATATGGTTGTAGTGATCCAAGGATGCATCCTCTTCATCAAGACAAAGCAGAAAGATCCTCAAAAGAAGCAGAAAAGAGGATTGATGACGATTTTGGAAATCTCACAAGGGTACTCCAAGATTACGTTGAGGACCACAAGGTCTTGCCTTACTGTATGATCTTGCATAGCTTGGCTTACAGGTATTTAGGTGGAGGCCTATCAGACCCAACGTACAAGGATGCTGAATTTCCATACAGATCCTCTCCACAGATAACAGCAATGTTTTGGAATTTGGGAAACTGGTGCAGAAACAGATTTGAAAAATGCCCGGTTCCAGAAAGATTTCAACAATTCATTCCACACATTGACTACACTATCGATGAGGATCATGAAAAATTTGATGAAACCAAATCACAGTTCAACAATTACTTCATCAATGTCATCAAGAACTTTGGAGGACATCTTTTCATGAATTGCGAGGCTGGTTCGTTGTATCCTCACAGAGAAAGACTCGACGAGGTTGACTTTAAAACTTGCTTCAATGACTATCATGACTTGATGGTGGCAGCTCGCCTTGGAAAGGATGGCTATATCAAGCAAATTGCTGGATATCACACAGATGACAACGACACACGAGTTCGACAAGTCTCATGGGCAATCTTTGAAGTATCTTGGGGAAAGACAAAGGATCGAGATACAGATGAGATTGTTGACTTGACAAGAGCTAGGATGAGAATGACACGTGTGTGCGTTTATCACGTCGGACAGAAGTATGCATCAGACTCTGCTGGGATTGTTGGTGAGTGCTTAGCTGTTATGGCTTTTGAGTGTGCCAGATATCAAGTTGACTTCATCGCAGGTGATGGAAACAAGGCATGCTATTACAGCACACCAAAATCTCCAGGTGTCCCTACATATCAACACAGCCTTATCCAATTCTGGATTAACAGAATGGTAGGTGTTGCAACACAAGCCATGCGCAAGAATTTTGATCCAACTTGCCCTCCAATCAGGGTCAAGCATTTCATTTCTTGCAGTTATCGTGACTTGGATTTTCTTGCAACGCACTTGGATGGCATTACAACAGCAACATACACCGACGAGATCATGAAGAAGACAACTGGTAAAGGTGATTGTTGTATGTTAACAGTTGTTGAGTGGGGTCATTCACGTTTGATGTGTGAGGAACACCCAGAAGACTTTGAGGATGAAGATCACATGAACTATGTGGGTGAATTTTACTTCAAGGTAAATGAAACTTGCTTACATGGTGATCACAACATCTTCATGGTTGCTCCAAATGATCGCGATGCTCATAATCCAATTCTTATCCATCTTGATCCTTCTGATATGTCATGGAATGAACGACATCATTACAAACAGGCCTACAAGAAGAAGCAGTATGCTGATTCAAGAAAGGAAAGACAGAAGGAGAAAAAGAGAAAGGCATATGAAGATCAAGCATCGACGTATCAGGGCAACACAGAGTGGGGTGGATCCTCATCTTCAGCGTCCAGACCATGGAGATCAAGTGAGTGGCGATGAGTGAGTGTACACTTCTTTAATTGAAGATAACAAAGCATGAGAAGCCGTGTATAGTTTTTCTGTGCGTTCAACTTATTTCACACAGATGGCATATACTCTTTTAGATAGAGATAATGCCACAAGTGTCTGAACTTCAATTTAATGTAAAATAGAGACTCTTGTAAATAGAGATACTATATACATTTATCTCCATGAATCATCCGGCGAGCAGACCACTCCGAATGGAGCGAACTTCAAAAATTTACCAACTTCGATTTCAGTCCATTGTTTGCTTGAATGAGCAACTTTGGAGATCCGCTATTTCCGTTTATTTCGTGATTTGGTCAATTGTTTTCGTATGACCTGAATTTCTGAATCTTGCGAACCCGAACTTTTCAATTCGAACTTTCACCGGTAGAGCGAGGCATTTTGCCTGTGGAGAGACCGTGCGCGAAGCACCATTGGTCACTACTGGAAAAATTAGCGAATCCGCTGTTCTTTTTCGACATGTCCTTAGGACATTCGCTGCTTTCACGTGTTTTTCAATTCGAAGCCACTGCGTAACTCCGGTTTCTTTTGCTATTTGCCATTGTGTAGAGAAGTCAGGAAGATACTCTTAATACCAATTGGGTACGGCAAGGCGTAGTGCTCTACTCATTGCTTTTGAATTTGTGCCTGTGTTTTTGTTTCGACCTAATACCTACATAGGTACACGCATGAGTATTGAGCACATTTATATGCGCCCGTCAAGGCTCAAGAGGTATATAGAGTAACCCTGTAGACAAGCACTGACCGGCAACAGGCTGAGAGTAAAAGAGTGCTGTCATTGGGGAAGACGCCTTAGCTGATCTTGAAGTAGACGCTAGGGCCCCTCTTCAGCCCTCCCCCCTGCACCCCCCCACCCGCTTTTTTTTTAATCAACAACTACAACAACTACAACAAGAACAACAGCAACAACAACGACAACAAACGCTTTGCGGCAGCTGCAACAGCAACAAACGGCAAACAACAAGGCAACCACAAAACGCAAATTTTGTAACATGTAACAAAATCATAGTAACCACCCGCTTTTTATCAACAACGACAGCAACAACAACAACTACAACAACAACAACAACAATAAGAACAACAGCAACAAGAACAACAGCAACAACAACAGCAACAAGAAGAACAACAGCAACAACAACAGCTACAACCACAACAACAACAGCAACAAGAAGAACAACAGCAACAAGAAGAACAACAGCAACAAGAAGAACAACAACAGCAACAACAGCAACAACAACAACACCACCACCACCACCACCACCAACAACAACAACACCAACACCAACACCAACAACAACAACAACAACAACAGCAACAGCAACAGCAACAACAACAACACCACCACCACCACCACCAACAACAACAACAACAACACCACCACCACCACCACCACCAACAACAACAACAAGAACAAGAACAAGAACAAGAACAAGAACAAGAACAACAACAACAACAACAACAACAACAACATATTATTTACATATAGATATACATACGTATACATATATATATATATGACATATTTGTGGTTGTGTTTATACACAGCTGTGATCCCAAAATAAACTACAAATAATCATGTAATTGAAGAAAAACATGGAAAACTTACAGAAAACCATGGAAAACCATGGAAAAATTGAAGAAAACCAGGGAAAAATTGAAGAAAACAAGGAAAAATTGAAGAAAACAATGGAAAAATTGAAGAACACCATGGAAAACTCACAGAAAACCATGGAACAATTGAAGAAAACCATAGAACAATTAAAGAAAACTATGGAAAAATTGAAGAAAACCATCAAAATTTGATGAAAACCATGGAAAAATTGAAGAAAACCTTGGAAAATTGAAGAAAACCATCAAAAATTTGAAGAAAACCATGGAACAATTGAAGAAAACCTTGGAAAATTGAAGAAAACAATGGAAAAATTGAGGAAACACGAAACCCAAAAAAAAATCCAAAACTGTAAAAAAAAAAATCCAAAAACAATTGCTATTATATATTGTTTTTTTTTCCTTTAAATATATGTATGTACACAGTTGGTTCATGGTTTCGAATCACTGATTTTCTGGGATGCCTGGATGCGCATCCAACTAGGCAGAGGGGTTTCTGGGTCCGGACACAGAAACTGTGACCGTTTTGGCTCAGGTCATCTATCACGACCAGGCGACAAGGGCCGAGAAGAAGGGTGCGTTGGACAAGTCCACCGTTCTCTACGATCTTTGGCTTTCAGAGCAGGTACCCTCTGGTAATTTGTCACATAGCTATTGAAAATGGCCATTTATAGTGAGTTTTCCCATGAAAAATGGTGATTTTCCATAGTTGTGTTAGTTTACCAGAGGGTATTGACCCCAAAATGGCAATTTCTAGTAGGTTCTTGGCAATCTTGGTGCCCGTTTTGGACCCCCGCATGCCTTTGGCATGCCTCAGTTCTGGTCTCATACCGCTGCATTCGCCCCATGGCAAGGACAAGGCATCCGAATATTGGAACCAGGCTATTCGCATCTGAGCATAGATTGGCGAAAGACAATGGGCGATGCGGAGTGAAATTCATGGGGGTCAGATCTGCTTCCACGGGTCCAGCATTTTGTTGGGCCTAATTTTGGCGTGTTTGGCTGTTGCTAGCCGCTAGGGCAGCTGAGGTATTGCCCCAACCAACTACTTGGAGGCACAGAACTGGCTGCTGACCACTGGAAGAATGAGCCAAGACATCCAGAACAAGCTTGGAGGCGAGAATCCAGTTGCCAGGAAAATTAAGCAGTCCAACGGCGGTTCCCTGCATTTCTCCTCTTGGCAGTTGAAATGTCTCCATTTTTAAAGTTGTAAACGGTGGTCATCTTCGAATAAGCTTACCCTCTGGCAAACTAACATAACTATGGAAAATCACAATTTTTCATGGAAAAACTCACTATAAATAGCAATTTTCAATAGCTATGTGACAAATTACCAGAGGGTATCACTGACTTATCACCATTCATCACCTCGCCAGGTATTTGGTGAGGGACACACACGTGTAAAAAATCGCTTGGTGAGAGCGGAAACCCCCATTTTCCCCGAAGTCTGAGCAGGTCTCCTTGGATCCCTTTCCAAGGGGTTTCAAGGCCCAAAAACTGCCACAGATGCCAAAGGCAAAGAATGATCTTAGCCAGCCTCACTTGAATTTTCAAGCCCAACTTGAGATGATGTTGGCAGCTTGTCGCTGCCACACAACTGGTGACTAGACGTGTAAGTGTAAGTGTAAGCATTTGTTCAGCTAGCAGTTGGGAATTGACAGGACACATGGCCAAACAGGCCATACATATACATGGCCAACATATGAAGAAATGATTGCGCTCTTGTGGAAAAGGCTGTGGCCTTTCTCATTCACTGGGCATTCGGATGGCTGGCATGGCTGGAAGCAGAAGCAGCTCCCATTGCCCCCATTGCGGAGGTCAGAGTGTGGCACCTCCCAAACTCACCGAAACCAGTGGAAAAAGGAGAGTGCTGGTCATGGGCTTGCATGACTGGTTGGTGCTTTCATGTGGTTTCAAAAAAATCGATTTCATCCTCAGGAAGGGCATGTTAATCCCACTTGACAAATAGATTTCAGGGGGCTTGAAACTATCGACCAGTTGAACCGATTGACCAAGTGTCAAATTTCAGATTAAACAGTACGAAGCGGCCATAAACCGTCCGCGGGAAGGGAAGATCATGGGACACCCGTAGAGTCCGCAAGGAGGTCGATCTGTTCATTTTGGGGGCCATGCCAGAGGGGACTGTGGCTGGGTTTCAGATTGGTTTGTCGGAAAACAACCCCCAAACTTGATGATTTATCATCATATTCCCCATTCAATGGCGATTGAATGATTCCAATTTCAGATAAACCCAGAGGTCTCCTAAACTGGGGTTACCCCTAAAGTCATCCATTTTTGTTTTGGGATTGTGAATTTGTCACCCTCCAGCTGGCGGCTACGCCCCATGAAAACCTCCAGATGGTTTCAGGCCAAAGATCTTCTGAACGATGCAGTCTTCGAAGCAATGTCTGCCTCCAACGGCAAGGCAGGATGGGGCAGGATGGGGCAGGATGGGGCAGGATGGGGCAGGATGGGGCAGGATGGGGCAGGATGGGGCAGGATGGGGCAGGATGGAGTGTTTGGCATGGTGCCAGGGGCATGTAGAACATGATGAAATGGTTAAACTTGGTTTATTAATGACGGTCAATATTGGTCAAATGTTGGTTAACAATGGTTAAACCATGATTAATAACGGTTGATGGTGGTTAACGTTGGCTAACCATGGTTAATCATGGTCAATCATGATTGGTTCGTTCGAAGAAGTTGTGCTACAACAAACTTGCAGGAAGAAAACCTTCATATCTAGCCTAGCTGGTGAAAATTTTGCTGGCAAATTTCAAACCAACCAACCCGGACAGGGATTGACTTTGGTTATGCAAGATCTTCATGTCCCTTTAGCTGGGACCTATCTGCAGCAGCATTTTCTCAGGAACGTGTGGTGAACGAAACCTCCTTCCTGAACTTCTTTGCCAAGTGCGGCAAGGAATGGCAGCAATTTCAATAGGGAAAGCCGCGGGAAAGCATAGGAAAACATGGGGAGGCAATTTTCCAAAGCAGATTGAATGGGGAAAACCATTTTCATCAGTTTTCTAAAGGATTTTGTAGTTTCAGATTTTGAGACAACCCTGAATTTCCAGATGCAGCATTTGGACCCCCGCCACAGGAATGCAGCAACGGTGAGGCTGTTGACATCCCGAGTGAGGAGGCACGTGCCATAGTATCACGATAGTATCATGACATCTCGTTGCCCGTAGATCATATTATATTCGTATATATGCATTGTATGTCACAGTAAGCCCTGTGTTGGTGATTCGTTTCTACGGGCAAAACATGCGATTTTATGTATGTTCACCATCCCATGGCTTCTAGCCATAAATTGCTAGTGAGTTCACCTCCACGCTCAGACCCATCAGTGTCAGTATCAACAGTATCAAAAGCCATCCAGCTTTGGAAAAAAAGATCCGCCGCCATTTTAAGGGCCATCTTAAAGGCCTGGTTTGATCATTGTATCCTCCGGTCATCAAACGTGGCAACGGAGAATTTCCAGCATTTTTGTCGATGATTCTCCCCACCTCCAGTGGTTCGGGGATTCTGCAGATTCCCAAAGGGTAAATCCCAGGAACATCACCACCTTGGCCATGAATCACCATTATTCACCACTATTAACCATGATCAAGCACTATATACTGGTTGATCCATGGTTGTCGCTGTTTTGTGGTCATATCAACCGCTGGGACCATGCTTGATGATTCAGCAGAACATGAAAACTGTTATATAACCATTATCAAGCACCATAATGTGGTTAAAACAATAATTAAAACCATCCCCCAGTCATCACCATCAATAGGTGGTATGTTTACCATTCCCAGTCATGGGTGGTTTATGATTGTTTTAACCTAGATTAACCATTATTAACCACTATAAGCCATGGTTGATCAGGAAAATCCATATCTCCAGGAGCTTCGTTGCTTGCTGTGCTCCTGGGATTCGGAGGGGCACCTGGATGAGGTCCGAAGGGAAGAAATCCATGGGGCTGTTCGGAATCTAAAGCCACCAGTCACATCATCACATCTGGAAAAACCATCATACAAATCATTGAACTGCATTGAATTGAATATTGTTATTGCTATTATAATCATTATCTCTCCCTCTCTCTCATGTTTGTCTTGCTTTTTTCTTGATCACCTTCCATTCCATCCAACTTTTTGGCTGTGCCCCACAGCTTTTCATCAACTTCTGATCAACTTTTGAACTAGTTAAATACATACATAATACATACATAATACATACATAATACATACATAATACATACATAATACGTACATAATACATACATAATACATATAATAATAATAATAACAAAAATAATAGTAGTAATAAGTACATAAATACATAAATACATAAATACATAAATACAGAAATACATAGATACATAAATAAATGAATAAATATATAAGAGAGAGAGCGAGAGAGAGAGAGAGAGAGAGAGAGAGAGGGAGAGAGAGAATATGAGGGAGATAATTTCTTGCTGGAATCGACTCTGGTCATGGGGATTATCAGGGCCCATGGGGATCACGTCGCCGGATTTGATGACTTTTGATGCCAGGACAGGGTGCAGGAGATCCTGCTGGGGGCCCAAGGATGGCCGGCGCTAAAAAAACGTTGCGAAGCTGCGGGAATTTCAGTGTGGCACACGTTTCGCATAGATTTTACCCTCTGGTAAACTAACATAGCTATGGAAAATCACCATTTTTAATGGGAAAATCCACTATAAATGGCAATTTTCAATAGCTATTTTGACATAACCAGAGGGTAGGTTGTGCCACATTAAACATCAAACTCATCAAACCTATCGTTGGATCCCTATGGATCTACGATTTGAGGCGGCGGTGCATGAAGGTGGTGAACAAGACTACCCTAACTGATGGCGCCCAGACCCTCAGATTCTGGATGGGTGAAACGATCTCTGGCATGCATCGAAGACCAGCAAACCACATATTACCACTCCGAACCAGTTTTTTTTTTGTCCGGTATTGTTACATATTGTTACATCATGTTAAATTTGTGTTCGCTGTCGAACATTCACAATTTTCACCAGATTTCACCACGTTTCCTTTTTTTTAATTCTCCAACTTCTTAAACGTTTCGAGGGTTGGCCGCCATGGCCTCTCCCCTGGTCAGGTCAGCAGCAAGTCCTCGGTAGTTCGCAAGTTGGAGGTGAACGAGGTTCTGATGCTGCAGTCTGTGCCCTGCAAAGACAGCGAGATCGACGTCCTACGCGTGTCATCAGCTCAGAAATGGTGCCATTTTACGTGCCATGGAAGTCCCTGAGCTACCCCATCTTTGGTCTTCACCGTCTTCACCCTTGATTTTGAGAATTCTTGGGGAGTACCCAATTTTGACCAACCCCCCGATGTGGAGGTTGTTGATCAATTTTGTGATGGTCATGTGATGGTCATGAGTTCCCCCAATATTGGGATTTCGGCAACTTGCAGCCTCAGGAAGGTGCAAGCCCTAAATGATGGAGCTGAAGGTGGGGTAGATTCATGATGTGTGCCTGAGTTTCAAGATGGTGAGATACCAGAGAGAAACATACCCAGAGCCAGGGTGAGTGTCGATGTTGCTGATTATGACTGGCGCAAGATGGTCAATGAAAGCATCATGCGATGAAAGCATCACTGGAATAGACGCCAAGTCAGGTTGGGTCACGATGTCTGGCAACCAGGGCACCGAGTATCTCAAGGAGTGCATGCGTCAACTCATACAAGATCTGGAGATGTATGTAGGTGGGTCAATCTTAGCACATCCACAACCATTCAATTTTGAGGCCCCACCCTGACCCCATCACTTTTTGACAGTTGGAACTTGAGAACACTCTACCTCGAAGTCGCTTCCCACCGCCATAGAAAACAGGAGGGTGGCAACATCTTCAAAGTCAAGAAGGACCCAGCACCTCTATAGGGATGTTGGTCTATCTCAACAATGCCGTATTCAAAGCCCAAAGCCCACCCGAAGCGTGATACTATGTGATAATCGTATCTATCCAGAGCACTGGGGCACTGAAGAAACATTAGCAGTTTTGCGGGCTTCATCCCGATTTTTGGATATGTTGGGTTCATAGCTCTAGGAGACGCTGCTCACCGAAGACTTGGATATCACTGCGGGGGCGAAAGAGAAGGCCTCACAACTGAAGGACGCTTCGGCCAGAGAGGGAAATCCACGGGGAAATCCACGGGAAATCCATGGGAAATGCCCGAAACCACAGTGCTGCAGGCATGGTATAGCCGGGATCCGGTATAGCAATGTATAGCATGGTTGCCGGGCACTTTTTCGGGTCATTGGGTCATTCCGTTGGCTGTGGCAGTGGCATGGTGTTTTTTCGGCTCAGCCTCGGGCGCCATGGCCGTCCTGGAAGTCAGGCATTGCCATGGCCATCCCTGTGAGCTGTCTCCTGGTACAGTGCTACACCTGCCATATGCGGAGGCGCTGCATGTCATTGAGGAGGAGTGGGATGAGTGGCTCCAAGCCCATTTGGGGGCCCTTCACCCTCAATGTGAAAAAATAGGGATTCGTCCTGAGAAATCGCGAGTTTGGCTACGTTGAACCAGGCAAAACAAATGCGAGACTGCCAGCAAAATGCAGATTAGACCAGCCCAAAAAATCAAAAAAAAGAACAGTTGAGCATCAACGCGGGGTGACATTTTCAAACAACACACGCCGCAGGACTTCCGCTGCGGTGTGTGTGGAGCTCATGCCATGCCTCTACTGGAGGAGTGTGAAGCGACAGAAGATCTGGTGACTTATTTGGAGGAGGTGGGCTATCGGATATGGACTGATACCCTACTGATACCCTCTGGCAATGTAACATAGCTACGGAAAATGGCCGTTTTTGGATGCCTTAGTGCTTTAGTAACTTTAGTAAATGAATAAATCTGATCTTATTTTCCACAGCTGTGTTAAATGCCAAAAGGTACAGTATAGGTTTGTCTTACAATAGGGCACCTATATAGTATTTTTGTATATATATATATATTTATATTATATAATCCTAGAATGATATATACACATGTAAATACACAATATTTTTAGACACCCAGGTAAAGAATAGGGACCGCACTCAGCGACCTCACCATAGATAGGAGAATCATGGATATATATATATATATGCATATATACATGGTGTCACCCCCCTCACCACCGCCTACCTTGAGCTTTTTTTCGTGGTATATGCAGTAAACAAGCAATCATTTTATTGTCCAGCTTTTGTAATGTGATTTACACATTACCACAGAAGTACGGTACCACTTAACTCTTGTTTCTTGCAGTTGGATCTTGAGCTGATCGACTTAACTATGGTCTCTGAGTCGTCCCTTGTTTTTAGGTGCTGACCAGTACTGGCACCTTGGCCAGCATCGCCTGCTGCGATCGATTTCCAACAAGCAAACCAGCCCTGCTTAGCTTTGAAAAACATGGAAAATTCCAGTGATTCTCTCGTTTTTCTGCGCCGTGCGACACGAGAAAATGTTAAATACCGAACAGTAGGCATGCTGCAACCTCTGCAATCGTGGTTTGATATGCAGCCGAAATGCTAGGCCAGATGATGGTTTAATAAGGTTCATCCTTCCAAGCGTAGCTTCCCACTTTCGAGCAATGAGTTGGGGGAAAAAATGTAAAAAAAGTTGATTCAGTGAAGTTTTCTAAACTAATATCATAGCAGTATAGCAAATCAAATTTATTCTTTAAAAAAAACATAGCAGTCCAAAAAGTCAGTTTAAATATTGTTGATTACTTAATTTTTCTCAACAATATCAAAACAGAATTACCTCATTCAATTTTTCAAAATCATAGCAGTCAAAGCATACTTACCTCATTCATTTTTCAAAATCATAGCAGTCAAAACATAATTACCTCATTCAATTTTTCAAAATCATAGCAGTCAAAGCATACTTGCTACCTCATTCATTTTTCAAAATCATAGCAGTCAAAACACAATTACCTCATTCAATTTTTCGAAATCATAGCTGTCAAAGCATACTTACCTCATTCATTTTTCAAAATCATAGCAGTCAAACGCATTATTACCTTATTCATTTTACAAAATCCTATCCATCAACCGTTCCTGATTCCTTTTTATGCTTCTCTGTTTTTAAATGTCTTGAATAACATTGTGCCTTCATTGATGAATTACATACATTACAAAAGGCAACTTTATCACGATAGTTTTGTATTTATTCCTGTTTCTTTTTTCTATATTCTTCATCTTCTTTATATTTAGTTCTTCGTGTTTCATTCACTTTTTAGTAATCTAGATTTGTTTTTTACTAATACGTAATGATAGTGATTATCTTCATCATAGACTTTTAATAAATCTATTTCGTATTTAGCATTTCTATTTTTAGTGCCTCTATGTAATATGATTTTGTTGTCATTTAAGCTGTCATCAGGTTCAAAAACATTTACTGAAACATATTTATTATTCTCTTCAAATCTGTCTATGTCCCTATTACCAGTTGGAAATTTTACACCATCCCAGTTCAACATATCATCTTTGAGTTTATTATAGTGGAACATTTCCTCTGGGTGATGTTTGCTTATTTTGTCATAGACTATGGATTGAATACAATATTTGAAGCATTTTTGGTCTATATTTTTAATGTTGATACATGCCTTTTTTAGTTTAATCCATTCTGGTAATTCAATGTATCTCCCTGCTCTTGTTGGGTCATATCTGTCATAGTGAATAGTTATTGATAAAATCTTCTTAAATCTTAAATTAGATGTTGAACCTTCTAAATTTTGTATTTGTAATCGGATTTGAATAACACTATCTTCTAATGCTTGTGTCAGTTCATCCTCATTACTAATATTGAAGCGGGTTGATGGTAGGGCATATACAAGTTCCTGACTTCCCAATTCACTTCCTCCATCATCATATTCAGGTTTTTCAAATAATCCTTCCGTTCTTATATTAAGTTTCATGCTTCTATTATTTCTCAAAAAAACTGATAGTCTTTGTTTTTGGTGCGCAATCATTTCTAATCCCCTTTCTCCTTGAAAGTGGTTTATTTTCCAAAACTATTGAATTAGCATATCTCCTAAATGCTGATTGAATATCTCTGACCCTAAATTTGTTTCTGATTGCGTGTTTGGTTATTAATTGTCTAACCCTTTCTCTACTTACAACATCCATTGCCTTTTTCATAGCATAACTTCTGTATTCATTAGTTGTCTTTACTGATACTAATTTCTTTGTTAAAACATTCGATATGGGTTTGTCTTTGTTGTATCTAAATTTCTTGTTGTCTATGATTATTGACTTCAATTCTTTTCTTCCTCTTTTTGGTATTTCCGCTAAATCATTACTCAATAGATAGTCTATAACTTTTTCATCATATAATAGTATATATTTTATTTAGTTAATTTATCTTTAAGTAGTTTTTCAAAGAATTCTATATTTTAATCTTCGAATATGTGCTGAAAGACTAGTTATTTCCATATTTTTTTAAGGACGGATTGTATGAAGGATTTGCCTGTTGATGCGTTGCGTAAAATCGTTTCTTATAAAATTGGAGACCCTAAATATTTGAAAATAAAGCATAGTGAAGCATTGAAGAGAATACAGAACAAATACAAAATTTCAAGACTTGGTCCTAAAATAACAAGACATTTGAAATCAAGAAAAAAAATATAATTGAATACTGTATTGTGAGAGAGGAAGTGCCATTTAGCTTAAAAAGTATAGGAAACATAATAACAGAAGAAAAAGAAGAATTACTGTCCTTACTTTATGAAGAAGTAGAAGATGATTTAAATTATAGAGTTAAACTTGATATTGAAGTTCAATTAGTGGCAAAATTCCGAGAAAAGGAATATGGAGAAAATCAATTTATTTATAGAGAGATTGATTTTATGAATGACTTTGATGAATATGTAGATGAGGATGATATAGACGACGTATTGAATAAAGCAGATGAAGAAATAAATACCGACATAGAAGAAGACCAAGATAAAGATAGTACAATAGGAATACACACATCTCATTTTGAATTGTTAATTATTGAAGAGATTTACTACTAACATATTTCTAATAATATTTATTTATTAGAATTATGGATTTGTAAGATAGGGTTATTAAAGGGTAGGGAATAATGTTTATTGTTGTCTATTGTTTTGTTTTTAATGTTGTTCTTTGCTTGGCTTGTTTTTTTTTTTTGGGTTGTTATAGGAATTCTTGGAAAAGACATTTAAGAAGATAATCATATTTATATGTAATGGGTAAATTTTGTAGATACTGTGTTAAAGATTTACCAATTGATAATTTTGAAGATGGATTTAAGACTTGTAAGAAATGCTTGGAATACAAGAGAAAGAACTATGACAAACATAAAGATAAAGTGAATGAAACACGAAGAACTAAATATAAAGAAGATGAAGAATATAGAAAAAAGAAACAGGAACAAATACAAAACTATCGTGATAAAGTTGCCTTTTGTAATGTATGTAATTCATCAATGAAGGCACAATGTTATTCAAGACATTTAAAAACAGAGAAGCATAAAAAGGAATCAGGAACGGTTGATGGATAGGATTTTGTAAAATGAATAAGGTAATAATGCGTTTGACTGCTATGATTTTGAAAAATGAATGAGGTAAGTATGCTTTGACAGCTATGATTTCGAAAAATTGAATGAGGTAATTGTGTTTTGACTGCTATGATTTTGAAAAATGAATGAGGTAGTAAGTATGCTTTGACTGCTATGATTTTGAAAAATTGAATGAGGTAATTATGTTTTGACTGCTATGATTTTGAAAAATGAATGAGGTAAGTATGCTTTGACTGCTATGATTTTGAAAAATTGAATGAGGTAATTCTGTTTTGATATTGTTGAGAAAAATGAAGTAATCAACAATATTTAAACTGACTTTTTGGACTGTTATTTTTTTTTTTTAAAGAAGAAATTTTGATTTGCTATACTGCTATGATATTAGTTTAGAAAACTTCACTGAATCAACTTTTTTTACATTTTTTGGGGGAACCACCAAAGAGCCAGAAGAATGTAGAGTTCAAATATGTTTCTTTTTACCTCTTCGAATTTCGGGGAACCCAAAGTTAGTGATTTATCATGAGCAGGAGAGCGTTGTTGAGGCAAGAACGTAAAGGACTGGCGATGCATCATGAAGAAACGCATTGGCATCTCCTACAAGACGCAGAGGTCTGGCTTGGTGTGGCTTGATGACAAGGTGAAGCAGGCTCCTAGCTGAGGGTCGTGTTGTGATTGAACATGATTGAACCTAGTTGCGTTAAAGGCGTTTTTTTTTGAATTTGCACATAGAGATAGATCGATAGATAGATTAGATTAGATTATTGATAAATGGATATATATATATATTATATATTATATATATTATATATATATATATTATATATATAAATATATAAACATATACACATATAAACAAATGCAAGCATAATAATATAAACAAATACAGAAATTTATAAACAAATCGATAATAGCACGCAGGTGTATATATATATATGAAATACAAATAATATACAGCGCATCTTGGGAAGCATCGCGATCCTGTCGGGCAGAAAGCCCAACAAGCAATGAGAGCTGAGAGTGTTACAATGTCAGGTAGATTCCCCTGTTGCCTTATTCGAATTATAGTTGTACTCATACTTCCATCAATCAGTTCTACTTATTATCATTAAATCTCTCTTCATGCTTAGATAATCTTAGATCTGCTTAGGGGTTCTCTACAATTTTCTTACACCCCCTCCAGAAAACAGAAGGAAACCATCGCAGCAGATGACGGCAGGTAGAGGTGGTGCAAACTCAACTGGGCAGCTTGCGACACTTACCTCTGCTGGCCACAGATGGATCTATGGCCCTGGTCGCGAAGCAGCAGGCGGTGGGTTTGACCCCGTGGCTGGGAAAGGATTTTACGAATACACCTGATTTTCAGCTGGCAAAGGGTGATTGGTCACTTTGATCCACTTCTTTTTCAGCCCTGAAAATGGCAACTGGTTGCACTTTGGGTTCAGTCACCCTCGGGGATGGATAATTAATGAACGTTTAATTCAAAAATATGGAACATATTAGAGTTCATTAATTTTTTGAATTAAACTTTCATGGGTCAATTTAAGTCAAAAAATATGGAACATATTAGAGTCATTTAGAGTCATACTTACCTGGTTGACTCTACAAAAGCCGAGTTATTGCTGCCCAACTGTGGCAAGTGGCGCCGCGGCGCCTGTCAGATGGCCCACAACCAGTCGTTCGTGGTGAAGCCGCGGCATGGATCCAACTCGAAGCATGTGACCCTTTGGCGCCCAGGGGAGGCCGGCAGACTCGCTAGGCTGTGAATGGAGGTGAGGTATTCAACATGTATTTATGGCATTTTATACCATGATGTTGTAACTAAACCCCAAAGCCATCAAAAGCCATAATTACATATAATTACCTTAAAAGAGGCTTATTCTTGAGTTCCCCTTTTTCCCTTCATCCGCGTGGTTCTTTGGCTGGTGTATCCCCTATCCCCACACAACCATGCTGCAGGCCACTGAGGAAGCAGTGCTACAGAGCATTGAGGAGGCTATGTGCGCGGAAGACAAGTCGTGGCAGAAGGACAGAGCTGAATGGATCTGACTGGGACAATCTGGGACATGGACCACCACCACCACCGCCACCCACCTCTCAGGAGTCCTGGAACCAAAACGCAGTGCCCAAGGGTGCGGTTTTACAGCCCCTCTATGCCTTGATGAGCGATTTCCTGCAAATGGACCCTGAGATGCCCAAACTAAAAAAGCCTTTGGAGCTTAAAGTGCAGGTCTTGTTTGGAGAGGTGGTAGGTGCTTGCCTCAACACACATCCCATGTTTTTGTGGGTCACTCGAGATGGTGCCGTGATCCAGTGGGATCCAGCTACACCTGGCCTCTTAAAGAAAGGCCATGGTTTCTGGGAAGATCTTCCAGGGGCAATTCTCCAACTGCTGCTGCGCTGCTTGGCAGAGCACTGGCATTCCTTGCGCCGGGATTCAGAACAGCTGGCAGTTGGGCTGGACGAGCTGCGCGTGGATTGGCTTCTGGGGGATGACTTTTGGGGCCCGCGGATAGGGGAGTTGACCTACATGGGCACCATGGCTGTGGATGTGGCCCCCATCTCCTGGCGCCTGGCGCGGGCCTTTGCGGCCGGGCATTTGGGACGCTGCAAAAAGCAGGCGCTGGAGCCCTTTGGATGATCGCAGGGCGGATCTGAGTTGTGTTGGTGCCAAGGGCAGAGCCGTGTGCTCTGCGCTCAAAGAAGCACAGGCATCCAGGATTGGAAAAGGCGGTCGTTGCAGTTTCCCCTTCCAAACTCAGAGTCATGAGAATTGCTGCGCGCTAGGCCTGCTTTTTGGATGTTGTGTACGCTGTTTCACTGCGGGGGGCTGGAACAGTTTCCAAGCGGCGACGGCTGTGTGTGCATTGAATCGCTCCAGTTTCGCGAAAGTCTCAGGACACTGACCGACGGTTACTGATTGGAGAATTGGTGGAAGTCAAGTCTCCCATGCAGGAGCAGCTCAGGCCTCAGAGCTTCAGAGTTTGTTGTGTCGGATGGTTGAACGTTGAGCTTCAATATCTTCAATGCTGGAATTGGTGCTTGACTGGCATTGCACTGGAACCCATTGGAATCATAATATACATATATAATATATACTGAAATATAAAACCGTTGAATCGCTTGGCATTGCAATCAGCAGACGGTCAACACACCAAATACAGTAGTGGTGAATGAACTTAGATCCGCCAGATTCCACGCCTCCCAAATATCCAAAAGTCATCTTTCAAATAGTGATTAACTTATGACTAGTGGTTGAGCCCCCCAACACTACCAACAGTTGGGTAAGCCATACGGTAAACGCAGCCGAGGTCGGGCATGAAGCGATTCCGTTGCACGGCCCTGAAGGACGGTGCTTCCGGGTGGGCCACGGCCGGGGCACTCGGAAGCAGAAGTGGACAGCGCCACCAGAGGGACCACCAGGGGCGGGGGATTCAGGAAAGGAAACGAATCCCTTCCACATCATCCCTAATCTTGCAGATGGTTCTCAAAATGTATAGATACAATACTAAATGAGGGTTTCTAGGCGGTATTTAGTATTATTATAGTATTATTATTAAAGGGACTGGGGTTATGGAATGTTATTATTTTATAATCAAAGCACCAATGGCACAATCCGTTTTTGAAGATTGACTGCCAAATCAGTGCAGGTCGAGTATGTCATTTGCTGCAGAGGTCGTGTGCTGTCTCACTGGTTCCTTTACAAATCTCGTTGCCACAGGTTGTGAACAGCCAGGGCACCGTCTATCTTGAGGTGAAGTGATAGCAACGATGAGTGCATGAATCATGGATGGCACGTAAGATGAGATACCAAGGAGTCAGTCGGAATAATTAGGTGATGGATGGTGATGGTCCGACCATCCAACCCCTGATATGATATACGACCAATCAGAAATGGACCAATAGGAGAACCGTGTCGGTTTTGGCAAGAAGGACCCAACTGCAAAACGCATATTACCAACATTTGCCAACCAAAATTAAGCCCCTGCACCGCAAAAAGTTGTCAAGATCATTTGATTTGAAGCCAAGCATGTCAGGCACTCCGTTGGGTAGAGCTGTTAGCTAGGGCTGACTTTGAGACAGCCTGGTCAAAGTGAATGCCATGGTGCAAGATCGAAGAAATATGTTGGAATCCACCGATTCATCATCATTTTCCTTTGTAAATGGCCACAATCGCAGGTATACCCATTTTCAAGTACACCTGTCTGAATCACGTTTTTCATGTTGTTTCTACGCCATTGTAAAGGGTGATGATAGCCCTGTCCAGGGTTTTGAGATCTTTCCGCTGCCCAATCGTCAGCGGCTGGAGCTTCTACCATAGTGGCACCTGCCAATCTTTAATGACAATGAGTGGATTCGCGCAGGGAAAAGCTGTCAGCTATGCCCAGCTATGCCCCGAAAACAGATGGTGATAGAGAGATGCCCCCAAAACACACCAGCAGACAAACATGGCATAGGAATACAACAGATCGTCTATGAAATTTGGAAATGCCCTTTGCAAGGCTTCTGGAGGGGGACTGCTTTGACGCTTGCTTCAACCTCACATGTTCGTTTAGTTTCTAACAACGGAAAGGATGGTACAGCATGGTGCAGCCATGTGCAGCCCAATTTGTGAGTCAAGACCAGCAGCTGCAGTAGGACAGTAGGAGAAGTGTCACCAAACCTCTCTCCTGGGTCTTAGCGTTTGATCATACGTTTCAAACCATTTAGATTCGTAAAGCAAAGAAAGGACACTCCCCTAGGACCAGGCAGTTCCTCTTATGAACAAAAATTCGTAAAGCATGTAAAGCGCCAGCATTTGCTTCAAAGAGCATATGCATATTATCATAAGGAAGACCTAAGAAGCACATCGATTTGGATGGGGGGTTCCCATATGGGTTCCCATTTGGGTTCCCATTGGTTCCCAACAGGTGCGCCAGGAGGCAGCCATTGCAGCCGCAAAGATCGCAGGTCTGGAAATGGAGTGGCAGACGGTGGCAGATGATTCAGATGACAATGGTTTGAAGCGGCTTTAAGCTACCCTTGTCGGACTGGATTTTTCAGGGTGACATTTTTTGGATATTTTTGGAAGATCTGCTCTCATTCACAATGTCATTCTGTGTCCACCGTGGCCCGTCAATTTTGAGCGCCATTGGTAGTGGATGGCGGTATGAGTCTGATTTTCTGGTTGGATGATTTGTAATACAGTACTTTTATTAATGTATTTTTTATGTTCATCTATTTTCTATCTTTTTTGGGAGGAGAATCCTCCCCATTGACTAATATTCATGGGGCTTAAGCCGCTAATCTGCTGCATTGTGGGATTGTCCTGGTGACACAGCTCGTGTCCTGCCAGGCAGATATCCGGGCAAAGCGAACGCACTGACCTCAGCAGCCTGTGCACCTTCCAAGCCTGGCAGTCATGGCTGGTCGGTCTGGGTTTATCTAAATATCAGGCACCCCAAAATCATCCAATCCAATGGATCAGCTCTTTGGTTCTCTTTGGCTCTTTGGATCTCTTTGGTTGGTTCCAGTACCTCATTTTCAGACACATCCATGTCGCTTATTTTGCCAAAATGGCTGTAACCGAGTTTGTCATAGTTTGTCCAAAAATGGGGCACGCCCCGAAATCCAATCAAATTGCCACACATTGATCATAGAATCATAGATCATCATAGATCCATATAGATCCATATAGATCCACCATTTGGAGGACGAAGCCAGATATCATGTTGGTTGTATCTCCCGTGATATTGAATCTGATATCAATCTATGTCCCGATATAGTGGAATTATATATATATATATTATAATAGATGTCAACATGTTTGATGCTTATTCCATACCCATATAGCTTGTGCAGCTTGTATATTCCCCGGCCTGACCGGGTTTTGAGACCATTGAAGTATTGCCATGTCCCCAAGGCTGAAGCAACTGCGAGGCTGTTGGGCCAGCTATTGGACGATACGGAGCCTTGCCGAAATCAACTGGACGTGAGAAGATTGGGGCGGCGGCTATACTTTTAATCCAGATGTTCTTATGTTGTTATGTTGTTCCTAAGATGCACATTGGATGATTTCCATTGATTCAGGATGTTTGAGGATGTTTCAGGATGCTTCAGGATGTTTCAGGATGTTTCAGGATGTTCCTGATATCTTTTTTCCCCCACCTGCCAGGTGAGGGTTGTTAGATTTTATGTCAGTTGCCTCCTCCTCCTGCTCCTCCTCCGCCTCCTCCTGCCTCGTCCTCCTCCTCGTCCTCCTTGTCATCCTTGTCGTCCTTGTCGTCCTCGTCGTCCTCGTCGTCCTCGTCGTCCTCGCTCAACTGCGACCCGCGATCCACAGTGTTCTCTGCCGGACCTCAACCACGACCACCCACGCCCAGTGTTCCCTGCCGGACCTCAACCACGACCATCCACGCCCAGTGTTCCCTGCCGGACCTCAACCACGACCATCCACGCCCAGTGTTCCCTGCCGGACCTCAACCACGACCATCCACGCCCAGTGTTCCCTGCCGGACCTCAACCACGACCATCCCGCCCAGTGTTCCCTGCCGGACCTCAACCACGACCATCCACGCCCAGTGTTCCCTGCCGGACCTCAACCGCGAGTATCCACGCCAAGTGTTCCCTGCCGGACCTCATGTAGGAAGATATGGGACAAAGAATGTGCAGAAGAAAGTTAGAAAGAATTCAGAAAGAATGTCAGAAGATATGCCAGAAGATATGCCAGATAGAATGCCAAATAGAATGCCAGATAGAATGCCGAAGATATGTCAGAATATATGCCAGAAGATATGCCAGATAGAATGCCAGATAATATGCCAGAAGATATGCCAGATAGAATGCCAGATAGAATGCCAGAAGATTTGCCAGATAGAATGCCAGAAAATATGCCAGACAGAAGATATGCCAGATAGATATGCCAGAAGATATGCCAGAAGATATGCCAGAAGATATGCCAGAAGATATGTCAGAATATATGCCAGAAGATATGCCAGAAGATATGCCAGATAGAATGCCAGAAGATATGTCAGAATATATGCCAGAAGATATGCCAGATAGAATGCCAGAAGATATGTCAGATAGAGTGCCAGAAGATATGCCAGATAGAATGCCAGAAGATTTGCCAGATAGAATGCCAGAAGATATGCCAGAAGATATGCCAGATCATATGCCAGAAGATATGCCAGATAGAATGTCAAATAGAATGTCAGAAGATATGTCAGATAGAATGCCAGAAGATTTGCCAGTAAGAAAATGTATAAATGTCATGGTGGGGATCACACGAAGTAAAGTAATTTTAGTTGGAATTTACAGTGCTATAATAAGAGATCAAGCAATGGAGGCAGGGCCCAGGGTCTCTTCAGGATGCGCTGGTGCGATGTGAGGCCGCACGTGGTGCGGGCCTCAAGTTGCAGGTGTGGGGTACCTTGGGAGGTAGCGAACTGGTAGCCTCACAGATGAATGGCTCGGGATGTTCCGCTAAGATTTGCCAGCAAATATTGAGGATGAACCTGCAAAAACAATTGCACATCGTTTCCGGATATTTCAGGTTTGCGTCACAGTGTTTCACACAGGTTCACGGGTCATATCTGCTACCGATTTGAAACTAGGAGTCATGCTGCACAGTTTACCTAAGAGATCTAAGAGTGCGAATGAAGTTGTAACAAACTTGTTCAGTCGCCGCTGGCCAATGGTTGCAGCGGACAACTGCATAGCGGCACAGCATCACCTCTTGTGTGCAGTGAAATCGTGGGAAGATTGGGATCTTATTATCCAGGAACCAGGCGCTGATCATGATCAACAGCCAGACACAACTACAGGCAAAACTTGAATCTGGCAACAGTCTTCATGATCTGATGTCTTGATGTATCTTACATTTCCGGCTCGAAGTTTTGAAGATGTCTGCCGATGAGCTATGGGCACAAGGAATCCTGGAATATCTGCCAGGGGTGCAGAAAGATCAGCAGACCACAGCAGGCTTGCCCGCGTTTGAGGCTTCTGTGTGGCCCGGATTTTGACATTCATGGTGGGGGGGGGTTCTTTTTGGTTCACTCAGGGTCCGGGAGAATGTAACATCTCATACTGTCATAATGCCTTGAGAGCTCCTAACAACTATATACAATGACCTGAAATGACCTGAAGGAAGTATCTTGCAATGTTTTGTGCAGATATATATTGTGAAGCGCACGCTGAACACCCCAGGCTCCACATATGACATGCGAAGATATTTGATGACAGATGTAGGTGAGTTACTTAGTCATTAAATGTTATTAATATATATATATAAATATAATATAATTGTATAATATATAATATATTATATATAATACATATATATATATGCATGTTGGTGCACAGATCCCCATCCCAGCCTTAACTGCATTTGCAGTGCTGGTGCAAGGAATCTGGACGCCACTGATCCACAGCGCTTGTTCTTCTTGGCCACTCTGCTCTACCATGCCGGACGTCACCCGCAGGCGGAGGCTTACTACTATCAGGTGTGGCAACCCGGGCACAGGCTGGGCGAGGTATGATGTGGGTAAAACAAAAATACACCACCCATTGGGGAAAGGTTTATACCACCTATTTATTAAATTATGGTGATTTGGGGGATGGTTTATTATTGGTGAGATTAAGTGAAGAAATCAATGATATATAAGTATATATAAGTAGGATAGACTATGATAGACTGAATATATCCAAAGGATTCTAACAGTGTAAATGAAAAGCTAAATATGTACGCATAGTCTACCAACAAATCCACACACAGATATATAAATATAGATTTAATATATACATATTATATATAATTATATGTATATATATAGACGCACATATTTGTGCGTCTATGTTTGTGGTGCAATTCGATGTCCAAGGCCCTTTTCAGCGGAGACACTGTTCCAAAACCCGTGCCAGAGGTGATCGACATGGTGCCGGAAAGTGGCCATGGATATTTGGAGCTGGTCCTTTTCCTGGAATCTGCCAACAGGCACGTTGACCAGTTGGTAAAAAATGAGACTCAAAGTGGGACTAGACATATGGGATGAAACTGTTAGGCCAATTAGGATTTTCTTGTTTTTGGACCAAACATGGGACCGTTTAGAGCAAGATCTACACTTGTTCTGGGTGATGTTTTGCTGGCGTGTGTAGATTTTCCAGCTAGCCATGTTTGATTACCAGAAGGCAGATGTCCCATCTTGATCTCAAACCTGCCTGGATCATTCGAGCAAAAAACTGTGCTCACCTTCGTTTCGTAGCACTTACTTTTTGAGCAAACGAGAACTTTTGCGTAAAGGAACGGTTTGTGATGCAACTAGGCCGCACATGATTCAAGGCCGCACTCTGCGCGCACAATCCTGCAAACGAGCGCGCAAGGAGTGCACTTACAAAAAGTGTCCTTTTGATTTCTTGCCGCCTGGTTGCTGCTCGCGCACTTTTATCTCAGACGAACAGTCTTCAAGTCGAGCACTTATTTCTGCTCAAATGAAGCTCCAGGTGGTGGTGATATCCCTGGGTTTGATCTACCATGATCTACAAAAACTAGTTGCAAATAATAGCGTTTATAGTAATCAATCATGCCCAGATGTGTCAGAATTGGATTCACTAAAATCTATCTACAGGAAACGCTAATATAGCAATGGTTTGTAGTGGATGTTCCTGAAATCCACCCAGTGTTGAAATGGTGTCCACATTTGGTCGTGGAGCCTCAACCACTCCCAAATGTTGATGTTTACCCAATTGAGGAGTAATGACCCAGTTTATTAATACGGGGAGTCCTTTTATATAGTAGTTTTGGAACTATTTTGGGGGTAAACGCTCCAATTAATAGTCAGGCTTGGTTTGTTAATACGTGGTTCACATTGCCAGGCTTCAAAACCCCTTGTTGGTCGATAGTTGTAGGGGACTATACTCCCAAGTTATTATTGGAGATTGTAACATTCCATGAGCCCGTGCGCTGGGAATCAAATGTTACTCGTACATCCTGTCGTGTTTCTTCATCCGCTTGGCTTTCACCCCAGGAGACATCATGTGTAATTTTCGTTGAACTTTTGGTCTGCCCACTTTATCCCTGTTCATTTTTCTTACATCCCTTATGATTGCATCCCAGAGTAATAAAATGTGATAAAGATACGTTTCATAAATGGGATTCTAAATTATATTGCGGGGAATGCCCTCAAAAAAGAATCCCATTCATGGCATGGTTGCCCATAGGGTGGGAGAAAATGTGACAGAAAAAACCTAAGTGCTCAAAATATCAGTATCCCATTAAATGATTATATAGTACCTACTACATTTCAGTGTCCTATTTATATCATAATTATCACCATCTTTGGGATATGAAGCAGATATTAACATTACCATATTACTAACTGATGCATACTCATTTCCAGTTACTTACTAGTTTATGAATAGTACTAACTACTAATGATCGTATAATATACTAAATACTGGGATGAGGATGGGACATCATATAATAGGCATTGGATGGTATTGGTTTTCTGTTGGTACTTTGATTCCTAAGAAATTGCAATGATAGATAATGATAGGATATCAATCCATCTGTTTTTTTCATCCCATCCTAACGATCAGCTCCAGGCGTGCGGAGGCTCGTGAGGTGGCGCGCCGTGCCATTGACAGCGGAGCGCTGTGGGCTGACGAGTGGCAACGCTGCCCGATCTTCGTGAAAGGCACCTAGGGACATCGGCAGCGTTTTTTTTGGGGGGGAAACAGGGTAATTATACGTACCCCTATTAAATCAACCACGATTGGGGAAGATTCGCCACACACACACACATATATATATATACACAGTATATATCAGTATATATATATATATAGTCAATATTCAACTTATTAAACTAATGTTTCTGGGGCAATCATTTCCAATCGGTTATGAACATCTTCCATTACTGGACCTTTACGTGGATCAGTGGGACGAGATGCTTCTTACGTAACTACCTTTTAGATGGGGAAGTGGCTGATGGGATGCAAATTTCAAACAGAAACGTACACAACTATTTGATGGCAACTGGACCGGCAATAGTGGAGTCAATCTATCCATTCATTCCAGAGATGTTTCTCTTGTCATCATGGTTTACCTTCTTGTAATTTAACATACTGTAACTATGGAAAACATGTTTGATAGGCAAATTCATACATAAAGGATCTAAACCTAAACGTCATCCATAAAACATCTATATGTATATATAAATCATCTATAAATCAATCATTTATAAATGGCCGTTTTCCATAGCATTCCATAGCTACTCTAAGAAATGACCGGATATGCCGTGGTCAGGTCTCACGTCCAGAGCCTGGTGGTCGCGGGAGGATTTCCCCTGGGTGGATCAGTTGGAGGGAGCTTTCCCGGAGATCAAGGCCCGGGCTGGGCCCCTGGGCTCAGTGGTGACCACCTGGTCATGGTAAAATATGGTAAACCCCAGAGGGCATGGTGATACCTCAGTGGAATAAGCCTTTTTGAAGGTTGATACCTTTTTAGAAACTGTAGATGATTGTAGATGCTCCGAATTTTCATGAGGCTGCCCTGTTGGCTTCTGAAATGAAACGGCACGCTGTTTAGCAGTGAATTGTAGTGGTCTTAGCTAAAGACAGGCATTTTCAGGTCCCAAACATGCAGCAATTTGAAGCAGTTTCTGTTGTTTATCCACCACTTGGGGCGCAGTTCCACTTCTAAGTGGTTATATAAGTTATTGGTATATACTGTATATCATATACATCATATACATTCATAGACTTAATTGAAATTTGCTGTGAAACCTTGCACAATGCCAAATGCTCCCAAACATCAGGTATGAATCAGGTGATCAGGTCTACGTTTGTGGTCTTCACAGCTGTTGCGTTGCAAAGTGCAGGTATGTAAATGCATTTCAATCAAGCTGTCATGCCTCCATTTTTCCATGTTTTGTATCATGATAGCCAACATGGCTGGATTTTGTAGGTCTATGTTAGCTGAAATCTGAGTTGCAGCCTGTTTTTTCGTTGCTCACGTGTATGGTAAGGCTACCCCCTTAGGTCTATGTTTGTTTAGTGGTATTGCTTTTCTAGGTCTAAGTTTATTTGAGGTAGTGTAATGTTAAATAAATATAAATCCATATATATATATATATGTTATACAACAATAGTTGTAGGGCCCTGATATCCCAACTTTGGGGTAAACATCCCATGTTTATGCCAGTTATGCCCATTATTAACAACCATGAATAACAGTTAATAATCATCAATAAACATTAATAACAGTTAATCACCATTAATAACAATAGTTAAAGGTTGTTAACCACTATTAACAATTATAAACAATTATTAACAATTATTAACCATTATTACCGATTATTAACCATTATTTGATTCACTATGAACAAATCTTAGCCCGCAGGCGGAAGTGGAAGGCTTGCTGAATGAGCAGGGCATGCCTCGGAGCTGGTTGAGAGTTGGGCAGGACGAAAGCTGATTTGCTGCATCATAATCCATGAAATACATCATCTAGGATATAGATATAGATGTCGGAGTATACGTATAGTCCGTATAGTCCGTATAGTTTTACACATACACACAGATATAAAACTGATATATATATATAAATATATATATATATATACATATACATACATATATATAGTTACACAGTATATATATATATTACATATATATATAACACACAAATATATATATATATATATTACACACACATATATATATATATGGCTATAAACTGATATAAACACAGCCGTTCCACCGGACCCGTCATCTTTTCTTGGCTTCCACGGCTGAGAGGAACGGGCCTCGCAGGATGGTGGCCCGGCATGAAAAAACTCCGGGATGAATGAAGGGGAGGCTAAAAACTCAATAAAGTGATTCATATGATTACATATGTATATATTTAATATATATATATTGTATATACTGAATTACTTTTTTTTTTGTCTATCAGTAATTATATACAATGGAACATTTAATATATACTGTATAAATTTGCGAAAGTGAAATGGGCAGATCAATGGTTGAATACATGGTCACTATCACTATTATATGTTTACTAAGAGTTGTGCAAGTCTGTTCTTTGTGATGTTGGGGGGCCCCGGGCCCACCAAAATCATCTTGAAATGGCCTACGCTCCCCTAAGATCACTACGATCCCGTGACATTCCTGCGGAACCCGACCATGTTTTTTGGGAACCAGCTGGATTTCTATGGATGATACCCATTTTTGGTGGGTCCAACCGGTATATGGGGGCGACTGAAAGTGGTGTATCCCCTCGGCACTTGGTGATCAACTCCTTGGTGTGACTATGCTCTTGTAGTTTCACATGGCAATGGGTAAAAAAAAACATCCTGTGGAAATTGGTGCTTCATGAAATTTGATGATCCTACACTGGGAAATTCAGGGATATTTCCATGTCCATTCCCACGGAAGATGATTTTCCCATTCATGCTAGCCTGCTAGCTCATTGAATTATTGGTGGTTACACAATGCTGCACTATGCGAAATATCTTCTTGGTGGTTCTGAAGTTCAGGGTTGATTCCTGAAATTTGCCAGTGCTGAGTCAACGAGCCTCCATTCAAAATTACTATATAGATCCGCCTGGTTTCAGGGTTTCCCTTTGAGGACTGGGAAAATTGACTCAACGGATTGGTTCAAGGGAAAATCATCCGAGGAAACCACAAGTTTCCCCAGTGCATGTGAAACTTTCCTGCGACCGTTCCCTGAAGCCAACTCCGGGAAACCTCAGCAAATGCCCAGAAAGATAAAAGCCTTGGTAAGGGAACTTATCCCCAGGAGTGGCGGAATACATACATACATACATACATACATACATACATACATACATACATACATACATACATACATACATACATACATACATACATACATACATACATACATACATACATACATACATACATACATACATACATACATACATACATACATACATACATACATACATACATACATACCATACATACCATACACATACATACCATACATACCATACATACCATACATACCATACATACCATACATACCATACATACCATACACATACATTACATACATTACATACATTACATACATTACATACATTACATACATTACATACATTACATACATTACATACATTACATACATTACATACATTACATACATTACATACATTAATACATTACATACATTACATACATTACATACATTACATACATTACATACATTACATACATTACATACATTACATATTACATACATTACATACATTACATACATTACATACATTACATACATTACATACATTACATACATTACATACATTACATACATTACATATACATTACATACATTACATACATTACATACATTACATACATTACATACATTACATACATACATACATACATACATACATACATACATACATACATACATACATTACCATTTACATTTACATTTATATTTATATTTATATTTACATTTACATTTACATTTGCATTTACATTTACATTTATATACATTACATTACATTTACATTACATTACATTACATTACATTTATATTACATTTCATTACATTACATTACATACATACACACACACATATATGTATATATATATATTACACACACACACACCTTTTTCCAGTTAAAGAATCCCAGTTTCACAGCGACACAGGTGACATCATAGCCCCTGGTGGCGAGTGGCGTGAGTTCTTGCTCTACTCAGCGCAAGACACAAGTCCTTCCACCGCCAACCCTGAGGCCCTTGGGGCCTCCGGTATGGACAATTCCCGAGATTGGTTGAATTGGTTGAAGGGTACAAAATTGCGAACACCCATGGACACCCCATATAGCAAGCCTAGAAAAATCCGAGCGGATGGTTAAAAGTTGGAGAGAGAGGGAGTTACAAGTTGGAAACCTGACAATTATGGAAACATCATCGAACCAGCATCACGTGTTTTATAATTGCATTTTTTGGGGACATCTATAAAGACCAAGGATGCAAACGGCATAACAATTTACCGTCATCAAGTAGTGTGTTAGTGAAGTGTGCAGCCATTCACTTTGCCGATACAAATTTGGAGAAAAACCTGTACCAATCTTGCTTTTTCCGCATCTCCACATCTCGATCTCTCCCTCTCTCTATATCACTCTATATCCCCACAATTCTACATATCCCTGGTTTAAAATTACACCCATTCTATTCCAAACAGCTCCATCGCTGACAATTGGATCAGTGATTTCTTCCCTAGCTCCAGGTGCTTCAAGCCTTTCCCAAGACCTGTCAGCTGCTGGAGAGCCTTCTCCCCACAGCTGTGGCCATGGCCAAGATCGGGGTCTCTTGGCACATGGGCATCCAAGATTGAAAACTATATTGATCCTGGACTCAATCTGCACTACATATTATGGTAGGACTTGGCCACTTAGGGCCACTAGCATGTTGTTTGAATGGTCATGACACCATGTTTGTATCTACCAACTACCTGACATTGGGACCCCGTGAATCTCGGTGACGCCCTGCTGATCCAATGAGGTAGGGGAGATCATTCTGTCGGCCATCGCGCCAGGGACGAAGCTCACCCCACACTGCGACCTGGGCGATTTTAGATGAGTTTCCTCTGAAACCATGCATTTTTAGAGCACAAGAATTTGGAGCCGTGATCATTTGGAGCCCAAAGTTGGAGGTGTTGACAGATGTTGACAGTCACTGGTTTCCCTCAAGTTTTCCCATGGTGTTCCCAAGCCAAATTGTGGCGATTTTCGACGGGAACCTGAAGGACACCATCCCATTTTTTAAGATGCCGATTGCTTTCCTGTTCTTCAAATTATGCCATCACATCAACCGATTGATTCTTGATCATTTGTGGCAATCGGATGCAATCGGTTTTTCAGGTCTGTTTGCCGATGGAATCCAAGTTTCTTCGACCAAATTGACAACTCCAGTCCATTGTGGTCCATGGGTTATCAACCCAAACACTCGCCGCTTATGCGCGATCCAACCAGTCTGTCTGGAGGAAGATCCTAACGAATCTAACGACCTCACTGCGACGTCACTGGACTGATGGTTAGGAAGGGGTAACTATCTCCAAATGACTTATTTTAGGTTAGCGAATCAATGTTATGTTAATTTTTACAAAAAAAGGCTGGATCATCATTTTGCTAGTTATGCCCCTGGATGCCTCAACAAAAAATCCAAATGTTTTCCAAATAGCTATCATGACTATCTCTATAACTATCATAAATCAATATAAATCAGCTATCCCATCAGTGTAAGCCATTTCAAACGCAGCATTTTCGTTGAACACGGCAGGTGCTTCGAGCAACGTGAGACTCACCTGTCACATGGGCTTGGTCTGTCCTGAGGGTGCCAAAGTACGAGTGGGCGAAAGCTGGGGGACATGGCAGGCGGGGTCGATGAAGGATGATTGGATATGATTGGAATGGGAGTCTTTAGGTTTTTGAGTGGGTGTCTAATAGTCTTAAAACATGTCTTTAATGGGTTTCATTCAAAATGGCTTCAAGGATCTTCAAGGTCTTTGATGGATTTGGAATGATTTGGATTCTAATGAGGTTAGAATGTTGATAAGCCAAAATTGTGGCAAGGGTTCCAGTATGTTCCAGTTGGGGCAACTGCACATAACCTGGAACGTCTTCCCATTCTTTCCCATTGGTGTGCGTCGATTTAACCTCGGAAACTCTCCATCCGGTGTCGCTCGTTGATCCGATGGCCATCGGTTGCCGTTGGTGACAGGAAGGAAGATGCATTTTCTTTGATGATAGCTACGAGCACGAGGTCGTGAACGACAGCGACCAAGTACGGTGCCTTGATGAATGAAATAAAGCCGTGCCCCCCAGAGAAATCCATGTGGAGGTGTTGGCGCAATAGGTTTCATGTAGCTGTAGCATGCCCTTGACATGAATGTTCCTGAGATGATCAAGGTGTTAAACAGCGTTTCTAGATCTTGCGATCCTCTTTTTTTTTGGGGGTGATCTGTTGCACCCAACAGCCCATGTCTATCCATGTCTGGAGGATTGTGCTCCTGATCCGCTTTTGGCATCCTGAGCTCCCAGCCGAGCGATGGAGAGATACACTGGATGCTGGGATGACAGACTTTGCAGCCATGTTGCGGCGGCGTGTGTCGCCGCCCGCCAATGCGGCGGTGGCCGAAGCTTGGCGGAGACCGCCAAGGGATGGGAGAAAGGTGGTCCCGGCCATGTTCGGAAGAATCTATAATTACATATTTCTTCTTCTTATTATTATTATCATTATTATTATGTATATTTCCCCCTAGATTTTTTTTTTATATTTCATGGTTTATTTCTTACATGGAGTGCAGATTAAAATGATTAAAACATTACAATTTTAGATGATGATAACCACAATCAATCCACATCCATCCGGGATCTGAGGAGATTCTGGCAGCCGCCCAGCGAGGAGAAGTGAAACGAGGTGACATGAGCAAGTTGGAGGCAACTAACTTGTTGAAGGCTGAATCTTGGGCGCAGGCTGGCATAGTTGGAGGATGTTGGAGGTTAACTGGATGTAATTGGTACTGTTTGCCAGGTTTTCCATGTTTTTGTATCAACTTTCACTTCAGATCTCTGGAATTAATCCACGGGTTGAGACTGAGACGGGTGGAGCAAAAAGGCTAGCTGTTAGGTATCTGAAATTTGCGGAGAAGATGCGTCGGGGGGATGCTTCTTTTGCATCGCAGACTGAAACTTATGGATCTCAAGCAATCCCAAGCAATACCTCTAACTGTTGCCCAATATTTGAAACAGGGAAGCCCATGTCTGTCGATGATCATCATATCTATAGCTTCCTACACAAACTGCATGAGGTCTTCAGCCTACTGAGGACGCGCCTGACTTGGCAGTTGGTGCTCAGAAAGATTTCGGGGATTTGGGCCTGTTGGACGTGCGCGAGGATCTCTACTGAGCATTGCTCCAAAAGTGACGCAAGGCAACGACCCTTTTAAGCTCAGCTGGTTTGAAAAACGACGTGAACTCACATGTGACTCTGGAATAGGGTGGGCATGCTTGGGCTAGCTTGCTGCCATGTGTGAATGGTGGAACCCCTGTGTATCTTCAAAAACCTTTTCGCAAAAAATTGGCATTGACCAAACAGCCTGAGAAGGGTCAAAGCTTCCAAAGCTTACTGAACTTTGTACACTTATGACATCTATTGATAAAACCTACTGTAGATTATGATGTGAGCTATGTGCTGGTACGGCCCTAGATCAATGTTTAATGATGTTTAATGATGTTTAATGATGTTTAATGGTTTAATTGACACCAATCATTAATCAATTTGTACACTGATGTGGCCACGCCACGGGCCGAGATTTGGCCAGATCTCTCCGAGACTCCGAGGCCTAGGAAGCCTTGACATGCGCAGCCTCCATGTGCGCCAAAGGGGAAGATCAGTCGGGAGGATTCTTTCATATTCTTTCTACAATTTTGGATCCGAACATTGGAAAAAATCCAAATGAATGAAACATATAGGAAAATCTGAAGATTGTTCGATGATGGATGTGAAAAAATGGATGAACTATTCGCCCGAAAATCCGCATGACGAATTTTAGCCCTGGATAAACCTGGGCCCGGAAGAACGATGCCATGAAACATGGGAGCAATCCCAACATGACTGGACATTTGTAGTTGAGTAATGTTGAGTATATGTTGAGTACCTCTTTCGCCCTAAGATTCTTGTGCTTCCCCAGTCAAAACTTTTTTTACGTCATTGTTTAGGCTGAGTTTTTCTTCATTTTGGGGCAGCTGCCTCTTCAGGCCCCGCGGCTCACGCTGCTGTGCCCCTTGCTCCGGGCTTTGTCAGATCAGGAGCTGAACACATAGCAGAGTAGGCCATCAACTGAAGGGATTGTTTGTGTCAATCTAGGGAGGCACCATTTTTTGGTTGGCTATTGTATTGTATGAGATTGTATGTATTGATGATATTGTCCTTGACTTAGATCGCGTTGCATTGCGTTGCATGGCGTTGTGTGGTTGTTTTCTGTTTTGTAGCTGCATCGCTCCATCGCATCATGATCATGATCATCAATCAGCACCATCGTTAATGCACTATAGGTAGCGCAACTATTGTGTTGGTCAGCTCCCCTAACACACAAAATCTTATCCAAACCGCGCGCTTCAACTCTATGAAATGAGCGAATGCTGCCAAGAGGAATCTAGAGATGTTTTTCCCAAACATTGCCAAACAGAGGTAAATCACACACAAATATATATATACCCTTAGCTTCCAAACCCTACAAATTTGTCGGGTGCAAACTAAAACCCTGGGTTTAGCCGTGATCATGCTAAAAAACCTTGGGTTTGTCACAAAAAACCAGGGTTTTCTTACAAACTGTCCGAATTCGATATAGTGCTTGCTTCCAACACTTCTCCTACTTTGCTTCATCATATGTTTCTTAGATTTTCCTCCATTCAGCCTTACCGTCAGGAAACCACATCTACATTATACATCTGAAGTAGAGAAAAACGCAACCCCAACATGGAAAAGTACGGGTCGGGAATTCAAGCCTCTAGCAAACCGTGTTCAACCCGTGATTTACCCGTGTCAACCCGTGTTTTCTTAAGGAATACCCAGGGTTTGTAGGCTAAACCTCGTGTATTTTGAAAATAACCAGGTTTTCTCTAACCCGTGTTCAACCCATGTTCAACCCGTGATTTACCCGTGTGCACCCATGATATAAACATGGGTTGGAACCCCTTGGAACTGGTGAAAATATAATACATTTTTGTTGTGTGTTGGGCTTGTGTTTGGGCGTCGATGACCAGTAGACTGGACAGAAATGCAACACTTTTTGAGGACCCACCGCATTAATAAAATCAGAGCATTTGGGGGCATGGTCTTGAAATTTGTGGAAATAGAAAAACCTTGGGTTTTGTTTTGAAACCCTGGGTTTTAAGTGCCACCCTGCGAATTTTGCGGGTTCGGAGGGTCGATATATATATATATAATATATATATATATACACTATATATATATAGAGATTATATATATGGGTAAGATGTGTATACGATATATGGCATGCTACACGTTGTAAACCAAAACTGACACCCCGGGCACACCTGGAGTTCCAGGACGTGGCAACGCGCCGCACGGCTGCGGAGGGGGTGCTGAGCAAAGCGGAGCAGTTGCTTCATCTGCCGCAGATGGTTTGGTCTGGGGCCTCGATTGCAAAGATCCCGTTTTTTTCGGGGATTTGGATGGATTTTGGAGGCAAAAATAGGCAAAACATCTTCGAAATTTTGGGATTTGCCCAAAATATTGGGGGAGTTCATCACCAAACATGTGGATTTCACCAGCAAACACTGGATGTCACCCACTAAGCATTGAGACCTCACCCAAAAAAACAGGAGTTCAGTGGGAGTTCACCACAAAAAAAGTTGAGTGAAGCAACCATGCACCAAAATTTGGATTTCCTTGATTTGGAGGAGGTATACTGTAGTCGCCGACAATCCAGGTGTGGGGATCATTGGGTAAGCTCCGTGTAAAAAGATATTTTTTACTTGCAAAAAGGGGCCATATGACTAAGAACACTGGCGTTGACCACCACACTTTGGTGTATAACTGTATAACCCAGCCGACATTTGCATCGGAAAAAAAGTGGAGAGCCCACGTAACTTCAGCCAATCAAACAGGGCGACTGGGAGAGGTTTGAGGATGCTCCGGTCGGTCCGCAGGCATGGGCATGGACAGCAAGCTGGAGTAGGGCTTGCTGCAATCCGCACGGCTTCTGGTGACGAGGCCAGAGCTGTTTTTGTAAACGCGGTGCATGTATATCCACATACCTAGTATGATCATCAATGATTGACTGATCATCTATGCCATCATCTATGCCATTTATGTTTAATGCCTATAGCCTATCCATCGTCATTCTCATTCCAAATGCATGTTTGGTTGAGGACTTGTATGAGCAATTTCCATCAATTTATATCACTTTCCAATTTCTCCGCACCTCAGGTGGAAGCCTTGTTGCTGAATATCTTTCAAGAAAGCTTTGGACTCAGAGTCCAGGATGGCTAAACCGGTAAACCCTGGGCCCATGACTGCCTTCTAGTCAGGCACAAAAGATCACAAAAGCATCGACACATCGGCTTTCCCAGGGGAAATTGCGTATCAGTGGGGATGAACTAAGAGGGACCCTTTGACAAGATGCAGTGACAAGATACAGCATAATCAGCATAATCCTACAAGTGGCCAATCGTAGCGTCGAAGCCAATAGGTAGAAACAAATAATGTGAGATAGATGAGATAGCTTTCAGGGTGATCTGTTCTGCCTTGTGCTCGTCCGAAACTTTCGAGGCAGGGACTGGTGGTGCTTCCGGGCTGTCGGCCACCCAGCCAGTCGTCTGAGGCCACGAACACACGGAGACCTCTGACAGTTTCCAACACCAGTGGGGATCAAATTGGGTACACCCCCCAATGGGACCGCAATATGGGTTTGTCTGAAATTGTGGGCTGCCCCCCCCCCGGTGGCAATTTAAATGAGGACACTTAAGATAAACACTTGATATTGCGGCAACAAGTTTCAAGACAAATCAACATGAAATGAAATGGTTGAATTCATGTTAGAGCGCCTTGATCAAACGCCTTGTTCTCCAAACAGCAGGTGAAACGTAAGAAGTAAAAGGATTGGATACGAGAAAGGCTCTCCAGAATCCTTGAACCAGACCCAGGCAGTGACTTTGGCCCTGTCCTTGTCTGGCAGCGTCAAGAGCAAAGCCTGGGACATGCTGCTGGACTGGCCAGCTGACGGATGGGATGGCTATGGGTCACAGATGTGGTACCAATGAACTTGCCATAAGCTGCCCCGTTGATACAGAATCCAAGCATTTAACCATCCATTTTGGCCGATCATTTGGACCCATATCCTTATGGGCTTATCCACACAACACACTGCTCTTAGTGACTGCCAGGGATATGAATCCATTGGTTGGAGCATCCCCTTCCTCTTGTCATTGCTTCATTGCTCAAGCGGGGCTGCGGCTGCCCAAAAAGGTCACCGCAGCACTGGTGAAACCAATGTCAGAAGCCGCAACCAATCGGTATCGGTTTCACGACATTTCAGACATGTTTCAAGTCATTTCATGTCAAGTCCATCTACAGAACATGGGATGATGTGGTGTCTATATCAGAGCTCTCCCCCAATTTTCAGGCTTGAATTGATGGCACTACCAGCCACCAGCTGACATTCCTAAGTCACCCAGCTCCACTTGTGGCGCGGCATGGCAGAGGTAGAAACCGATCCGCTGTTTACAGTGGAAGGCGCTGCCAAAGACGAAGAATGGAAACTGCACGGCCCCAAATATCACCCCTTCATCAAGCGGATAAAAGACGCTTGGACCAGCAGATGCCAGCAGTAGCTCTTTTCTTGGTTGCTTTGCGTTTTCTAAAACAGTGTTGGATCATTTTGCAGGATTACATCCATATGAAATCAAACATGGAGGAACAACCAACCCAAATGCGAGCTTGAAGAAACATGCATGGGGACTTCTCCTATCTAAAGTGGTGAGGAATCAGAAGGTGAAGCTGCAGAGAAAATCGAGAAGAATCCGGATCGAACTCGGCCAGGTGCCAGAGCTGCAATGGACGTCTCAAATATGATTTAAACCACACAATGTGGGTAACAGCAAAATAAACCATCCCCCAAATCACCATAAATAGGTTGTATATACCATTCCTAAATGGGTGGTTTATTCATTATTGTATATTGTCTTATCCACATTACATCAAATGTCCAGCCTGGCTTTCCTGTTTTTGTCTCTCCCGCGCAGCGCGCTGATTTAGCAGAAATGTGCGGAAATCGTATTGAAAAAGCGTTCTCAACACTGAATTATGATGCGTTCATTCTGCTTTCCCCATCTGAATTGCAGAGGCATGTATTCCATCAAATGGTCATGGAAAGAAGTGTAAGCGGGTCCTTGCAAACTTCAATCCTGCAGGTGTCCATGATGGCGAGGAAGTTCCTGCAGGTCTAAAGATCTGGAACGATGCTCAACGAGACCGCAGTGCCATGAAAAAGGGCGCTGGATGGATTGCCGAGATCAAGGTCAATGGGAAGTCGCAGAGCCGTTGGTTCAACATAAGAACCTATGGCAGTTGGCGCTTAACCTTCCTATTGGCCAAGTTGCAGCGCTTCGTTTGGGAAGCCCAAGTCGCAGCCTCCGAAGCCGAGGCTCCTGCGGCTGCACCGTCGGCTGCACCGTCGGCTGCACCGTCGGCGGTGCCCTCAGCAGCACCAGTGGCCGAGCCGCCAGCTGCAGAGGAGGCACCGTCGGCGAAGGCGCCGCCCACAGCGCGGCACACTAAAGGCGCCAAAGGTGGTACCAAAGGTGCAGGTGCATCAGGTGCCAAGGGGAAAGGAAAGGCCAACAGCAAGGGGTCAGATGGTGGATCTGGTCGGCCCTCGGCCTTGAAACGGCCCAGGGATGAGGCCTTGGATGTGGCAGATGAGAGCTGGGGCCGGCTGCCGGTACCACGACTGGAGCAAGCGGAATCACAGAAGCGATCCGCTGAAGAGCCGAAGCTGCCACAAGCCAAGGCCTTGAAGAGAGAGCCTTGACAGGAACGATGGCTTTCAGGAAAGGTTCAAGGTTCTGGACACCATGGCTTCAATCTTGTCTTCCATCACTGGTGTTTACTGTATCACTGTATGAATCTATACGAAGTTGCTGGTGATGCACCGCCACGCTGGTTTTGACAACATGGCCCGCCGACATTGACATCACCACCCTTATTAGATAACGTTGGATTTCAATGTCTTTCATGCAACATTCATCATACATACATGCAGGGTATGGGTCAAACTTGAGCACCTTCAACTTAGTTCAACTTTGAATCTAATCAAGCATAGCAATGGAAATTCATCCAATTAATATCAATTGATGATGTTCCCATTTCAATGCCCAGTGGATTTCACAGCTGGCCATGTTTGATCTTTATTTCCCCCCTCAGGCAGTGACTGCCACATCTCAAACTTCGGGCGCGGGCCCAGCGAAGTGGCGACAGTGCCTGGATCGCTCTGGGGGTGCCTCGGTATCGGTGTTGGATGGTGTTGGCCTTGGCGGGTTCACCAACAACAGGACGAAGCGTGATGACACCAATGTCCAGTTGAACATCCTGAAGATGGAGTCATAATTACGATCACATAACAACAGGCTTGTCAGTCCTAAGTGGGATCAATTGGTCCAAGAAATAGAAGTGGATAGAAGTGGTATTTACATGATTTTACATTTTACGTGTATTTACATGTATTTACATGTATTTACTGTCATATCTGATCGGATTGCCAACTTGACTCACTGACCTGCAACCAAACGGGTTGGAGTGGCCGGCGCACAGACGCCAAACATGGGTGCATTCAACCACCAAACCTTGGGATAAAGTCAGCAGAGATATAGACTAGAGGTTGAAGTAGCGAAGCACCAATCATAGCGATATATGTATATATATATAATATATAATAAGAATTATATATATATATATATTAATATACATGTATATTAGGGATTTAAGAAACAGGACATTGATATCATTGATATTGGACAAACAAACATTATTAAAATCCCCATCGAACTATGTATAGCCTAGATAAACATACCCGCATCTATGTATCTCCTGAGGGGCTACCCAGCAAGGGGCTCCCCCTTTACAATCCAGCTCTGGTTGTGCCCTCCTGCGGATCATTTCGGCAGCTGAAAGGACACGTGAACAGCGTCCAATGTGGACTAAAAACACAAACGGGATTAGTGCCAAGCACATCCAAGCACCATATCATGGGATCCTGTGGAAATTTCTGGCGCCCATTTGGTGGATTGATTTACTGTAAATGGTATAGCATCTAAAATTTAGAAGCTAACTAAAAGTGTTTTTCGCAATTTTAGGGTGCCGTTCTCACCTTAAGTGACTAAGGTATTGCCAAGGGGCAGGTGAGAAAATTCATTGACTTCATGGCATCAGATGACCTGGAGACCAAGAATCGCATGGTGGAAGCCCTGCGACTGACCGAGCCAAACCCCAGCCGACTGCTGCGCTTCGTGAATCAGGGCGGTCTCATGAAATTGGTGCCCTTGGCAGCCTTGGCAGTGGCAAATCCTGTTAGGAATGGAATGGAATGGACATTTCCCACAGGGTGCCCCATACTTAGCCAAGTTGGTTTATAGCTCCAATAACTAGGGTTTATGGGGGTTATATCATATATCTATAATATAGTTAATGGGAATTATCAACCAACTACAAGCAGCTTATAATCTTGGGGGTACCATCCTGCATTTCCTGGCGTTTTGGAGTCGGGTTTCCCGAGGTCTTTTGGTTGGAGCGCGCCTTGGCAGAGCCTTCCGGGAAAGAAGTGCACCACTTCATCATCAATGCATTGAGATCCATCCAGGTAGTGGCACCAGGGCGCGTGGACAAAGAAAACATGGGAGAGAACGCGGTGAATCACTTGCTGGTGATTTTGCGGCAAGCCAAGCAGAGGGTTCAGGCCTGGAGATGCCTGGAGTGAGACAGGGCTCCCGATACGGAATGATACGGATACATCACTGTGCCCCATAAACCTCAGCCAAATTCAATTGAATTTCACAGCAAAGATCTTGCAAGTGGATTCTATTCTTTTTAAACTAGGTATATTGTGATTCTGAAATTGGCCAAATCAACCGGTATCCTTTCATTCTATAGTGAGTTTCTGTGGGTTTTCGGCGAGAAGTGGCCCCTCCAAAAATCAACAAATGAACACATTCCAACAACACCAGCATTTTCCTTTTTTTTTTTCAGAAGGGATTTCCATTTTGATTGAAGCATAATGTTCCATCATTTTTCAACGTCGCTGAAGCCACGTTGACAGCTGGCCAGGCCTCTCCGCAAGCCGAGCTGCGCGCCGCCGTGCGCCGCATGACGGCGCGCTCGGCGCAGCGCCGCGCCGAGGCGGTGCCCTTTGCACCGCCTGCGCGGCGCGGCGCGCAAGGCGCGCAACCGAAGACGCCGCCGCTGGAGGTGGTGACAGTGGACGAGGCAGTTGGGGTTTCACATGGTTTCACATGGTTTCACTATGAAAACATGGAAAAATACGTTTTACTATGTTTTACTATAACATCATGGTTTGAAAGATGGTTTCTGGCACCAAGAATTTGTGTAATTATATAGTGCTTTTGATTTTTTTTGTGGATGGGTTGAAGCCACCAAGCAGGTTGAGGCCGTTGAGGCAGTTGAGAAGCCGGAAATTGTGAGACCCGCATTGATACAAAAAGCAAAACCATCCTCCTCCATTCGGACGGAGTCGGAAGCATCCGAGATGGCGCCTCCAACAGCACCACCTGCAGCATCTCCCATGGCATCCCCAGTAGCATCCCCGGTGGCATCCCCTGTGGCATCCCCTGTGAAACACGCAGCTGATGAACAGACTTCCTACATCCCAACACCAGTCGCGCGTGTGGCACCTGTCACTCGTGTCAGACCGCCTGTGGCACCGGCTGTGGCAGCAACCGTGGCACTGCCACAAGTACAGCCAGCTGTTCCCATGCCAGTGCCTGCCGTAAGACCTTTGAATTTATCAGACGGGCGCCGGCGACCCTATCCTTTGCCCATGAACCCCCTCCAGGCACGTAACAGGCTCAGCTTGCAGGGCAGGATGCCTATGGCTCCAGTGTATAGACCTTGGAAGCCCAGGCCCCAAGAACCGCAGCAAGCCCAGCCGGCCACCAGTCCCCAAGTTCCTACGGTCCGAAAGGCCAAGCCCAGCAGTGTCACTCAGCTCCAACCAAAGGCTGCAGATATCCCAGCTGCAGGCCTTCAGCAGAGGAGTCCTGGGCTGCTGAGCCAGTTGGCAGGTGTGGAGCAAAGTGAGGATGGTGAGGTTTCTGTGCAGGAACCTGTGCAGGAACCTGTGCAGGAACCTGTGCAGGAACCTGTGCAGGAACCTGTGCAGGAACCTGTGCAGGAACCTGTTTTGCCAGAGGAATCCTTGAGATCAGCGACTCCAAAGGCTACTTGCCAACTGATGGCTGAGGGGGCTAGGGGTGGAGGTATTGTAGAGGAAGCAGGAAGGGCAAAAGGGAAGTGAGTACATTTGGTGGTTCAGTGGAGCTTGCACTTTGTTATTCCTGGTTCTGAACCTACAAAGCCTCCCAATTGTGAGGAGACAATATGGATGGATGCGGATGGATATGTTCAAGAATCAAACCCTCTCAGAATCCCGCTCTCTAGTTTCAAACATGCTTGCTTTCCACGCCTGATGATGATGATGATGATGATGATGATGATGCTGATGGTGATGGTGATGGTGATGGTGATGCTGATGATGATGATGATGGTGATGGTGATGGTGATGGTGATGGTGATGGTGATGGTGATGGTGATGGTGATGATGATGATGATGATGATGATGATGATGATGATGATGATGATGATGATGATGATGCTCATGATGCTCATGATGCTCATGATGCTCATGATGCTCATGATGCTCATGATGCTCATGATGCTCATGATGCTCATGATGCTCATGATGCTGATGATGCTGATGGTGCTGATGCTGATGCTGATGATGCTGCTGCTGATGATGACGATCCCCCTTACTGGCTGTTTTTTTTGGATGGGGTTGTTGGTTCCTTTTCGACAAGCACAACCATTTGAGAAACTGGGACTGAACATGACTGAACATATACATTGTTTGATATTGCCTTGCAATGGCCCCAAAGAGGATTGTATAGCAGTGGTAACAAATGGCTTCAGTAAGGACCGCCATTTCTATCTACCGGGGGTCTACAGTACCCTGTAATGCACGTCTTTTTCAGTCATTGAGTCTGCGGTGCGGCCTTGTGTTGCAGGCGTCGGCTATGTCGGTGGCACATCCCAAGTCGAAGTCTAAACTGTTTCTGCAGCCGACGCCGAAGACGCGAGCCGTCCCTGTCAGCCAAGTGCCGCAGATGGTGCCACAGAAGGTTGAAGGGGTGGATGAAGTCCCAGAAAATCTACCCAAAATTGCCAAGGAGGCACCCGATGCAGGATTCTTGGCTGCGGAGGAAAGGTGGTGGTGGGAACAGACACAACGAGATCTGGCGGAGGCTGTGGCACCTCTGCCTGATGAGGCTGTGGCCGAGGTTGAGTCGATGGATGGTGGGGACTCGATTTCTGCACAGTTGCAGCACCATGCAGCACCAGTTGAACCTGAAGCATTTGAAGAAACACCTGAAGATTGGGGACAAGATGGTTCTGGGGAAGGGGTTGAGGAAGGCTCCCAAGACACTCCCCAGGAAGGTTCTCAGGACCTTGCAGCCGAAACAAGAGGGGACACCATTGTGGAAACAGGCGAGGATATGGCTATGGATGACACTGATAGCATCCACCCCTCTGAGTTGGATGAGTTGGAAAAGCAGATTTCGGCCGAAACTGAGCGGGTTCAGGCACTGGAACGAAATCTGATGGTTCCTCCGGAAGAAGACTCGGACACCGAAGAAGAAGAAGGCCTACCACATACACCTTACCCACCCAAGCCGAAAGAGCAGAAACCAAAAGGACGAGCAGGGAGAAAGAGTGCCAAAAGTGAGGACAGAGATACCATGGAATCCATGGAAGTGATTGAAAGCCTTGGTATCTCTCCTGAAGCCTTGCTAGTGGCCCCTGCCACCCCACCTATGAAGCCACGAGCCGCGGGTGCGGCCCCTCGGACACCTCCTTTGGATCCGGAGGCCAAGGAACCGACAGCAGAAGATGCCAAGGCATTGGAAAAGCTGGTGAGCTTGATCGGTGCCCCCGGCACGCCTCCCAGATCTGACCCCAAGTCTCCCAAGTCCAAATCTCCTGCTGCTCGCAGTTCTCGCCAGTCACATTCGCCCGTTCTGATCCCAACCTCGACTTTCATGAAGACTGAGCCTGACAGGGAGGTTTACCAACACACAAACGCAAAGTCGTTAGAGGAACTATTTCAACAAGGCTTTGAGGCACATCAAGTAACTCAAGTCCCGGTAAAGCTTCAAACAGATGATGATGCTGGCCTGGACCTGCGAAATGCGTTGGTGAAAGCTGTCCTCAATTCGTTTCTTGGTCGACTTTGATGTGTTCTTTGTCGGTGTCAGCACAGGATATTTTGATCCAATCATGTCTCCATAGATCCTCCACTGTCAGGTCTCCAATGCTGCTCGGGGCTGTGCCGGAGAACCCCTACGAACCGGAGATCATTGCAGGGGCCGGAACCATGTACCAGTCAGCCATGGAAAACTACAATGAAAGCAGCTTGGTGGAACATGATGCATTGGTGGATTTCAGATAATTATTTCGTTGGGCAAAGTCAGCGACGGTGATGTGTTAGAAAGTGTGGGCAGCGCAAGAGGGTGTGGGGATATGCAAGCGGCGATTGGAACTGCAAAACCTGTGGTTCCCTACTTGAAAAAGTCGTCCAAATTGCACAACTGTGCGATCCAACCGGTTAAACAAAGATGCTGAGATTACTGTGCCACCATTGTCTAAGATCCCAATATTGTTCCAAAGGTCCTCTTCGTGGTCATTTTTTGGATATTTTTGGGGGTCATGCTTGATGAATTGGAGGCTTCTTAGGTGACAACGAGGTGAGTGTATCACCACACCAAACAATGATGATGATAATGATGGGCTGTTGATGGCTGTTGTTACATGATGTTTACACATGTTTCCACATTTTTTGTTGGTATGTATCTCCAATTTTCATTGTTGATGATAGTTTAAACTCTTTGAGTTTTCTGATCTCGCCAATCATTTTGCATTGTTGGTGGTCCTTCAACTGTTTCTGATCTGCATTTTTTGTTGAGAAATTGATTTCCATGAATATCTTTTTCATTCTCCTGGGAGAAAACTGAGAAAACAGTGCTCATATGCAGTGATTCGCTTGATCTACCATCTTACCATTACCATAGCACTGAAGGTTTCTGTCCCAGAATAGGCTTAGTTCTGGAGACACGACGTGTGGATGGTAACAGGCCCATGGCGTCCTGTAGATTCTCCCTGGCCGAGGGTGGTGTCACATTTATTTTCCAAATGATATGCATCAAATTATCATCAAATGACTTTCCAAATTCTTGATAACTTCATGACTTCATATTGTTTTCCAATGTTTTTCCATCTTTTCCATGAATTTCCCATGAATTTCCCATGAGTTTCCCAGGAACGTTTTTCAGCAGCCACCAGGTGTTCTCATGACCACGGCTGCCACTTCCTTCGCTGAGAAGATCCTGGAAAGCGCCATGGCGGGCGACAGCGGGGACAGCGGCGCGGCAGCGATGGAAACAAAGAGGGCGATGTGCTGCGGGAAACTCCATAAATCTCCATATGTTTTTTTTTTGGTGGGGGGCTGGAGGAAGCTGAAAGCTGTGATGGATCATGATTTGTAAATTGGATATCATTATATATGATATGTATTGTATTGTCTTGTATTGTATTGTATTATATTATATTCTATTATATTATATTATATTATTATATTATATTATATTGTTATATTATATTATATTATATTATATATCTGGTCTGGTCATATTATATAAATATATATTATGTATATCAATTCCTGTTTTGATGGTATTCGAATGTTTTTGATGGTAATGATTTGTGGTAAGTCATGCCTTGACATCAAGCGACACTCAGATGCCCTGTCTTGGACGGACCTTCATGCTCACTCATCCCACATGCGTCACCATACAGCTAGCCAACTAACTACTTGATCCTAATTACTAAATCCGAACAGAAATAAACAGGCAGGGCCAAGTAGAATCATCCAAAAAATGCAGTCATGTCTTTGTATTTGTACAGTGCTTTGCCTGTGGCATTTTCCATTTACAGGAACGTCGTTGAAGTCCCAATGATTGGACTATGTGGCTCTAACAAATTGTAGCAGGCGCACGTTGTTGCAAACCCTCGCAGCGGGGTCGCGTAGACAGAGTGCACAACAGCCGCAGCCGGTTAATTTTGGGCAATGGCTCAAGGTTGTTGACGTCCTTTCTGGGATGGGCATAAACACCTGTAGCATGACCAGTCATTTATTTGTCCAACATGGTGCCCCAAGTTTGAGCCATATCCATATGGACTGGACATGTATGCCCGGCCCTGGCAGTATTTTGCGCTTTCGCTGTGCTTTTCATCCGCAGCCTTTGACCCGCGATGCCTCACCGCGGCGGAACTGGCACCCTGTGATGGGGATCCATGCCGGAACGAGTCTCGGAGCATCGCAGGGCTCATCGATGCTGCGCTGTCCAAACTTGGATAGCCGCTATCGCCGATAATCCAATGGATAGTCAGATAAATCAATGGATAGAAATGGATCAAATGGCACGGATCAGCTTGCTGTATTGGCAAGTGGTGGCTTTAGGTGGATTTGTCATTCTTTTGGACATAGCCATGACGTATCGATGTTGCCAGCCACCAACTAAAAACACACGTCCAAGGGGTTCCACATTTTGACCCAAGGATTGCTGGAACAACATCTTTACCCACAGCTATTGCTGTGTCGAAACGCCCTGCTTTTCATGGGGATCTTGGACCACCTCTGCCCCCATCAAGACTGAACTAGCGCAAAGTGGTGTGGTTTGCCGCCATCTCTGCCAAGCTGAGCCCGGCTGTCACCAGTGGAGTTTCATCATCCCAGAGTCTGACAGTGGTGGGCCATGTTTGATGTACGACAGCTCCATCAAGTTCACCCCCACAGACCTTCCGGTGGTCTCAGGTCTTCGCTTCTGCGCCCCGGAAACTGCTTGGGAGGCCCCCCAGAAACCCACAAGAGCTGACCTCCGAAAGCAGCAGCTGCCGGTCTTCTGGGCAGAGGATGATAGCGCTGCAACCGGGGCAGCGGAGGCAATCAAGGGCCACGGCTGGGCGGTTCTGAAGCTTGGCAAGCTTGGATTTGCTGAGCTGATATCTTCAGATGAATAATAACGATGTGTAATCCTGTTTTTTTGGCTGTCCAATCGCTTAATCCACCATTTGGGGGATCCACTGGGGATCTTATCATTTTTCGTATTTTTTCCGTGTCATAAGCCAATCTGAGGAAAGGAGCTGTAGCAGAACTGCAGCTGAAGCTGTTGAGGTCAAAGGTGTCGAGCGCGGCTGACGAGTTGCTAGCGAGAGACCCGCAACGCGTGGGAAACCGGGGACCAAGGACTGGGATTGGAACGGAGCATGACGCACCAATACATCCAATACATTCCAATACATAGCCATTGACCATAGGAATCTTAAAGAACCAGCAATGTACAATTACAGTAAATAAAGTTAAACACCTTAATTAATGATATAGTAATAGTTCAATACATGGGAATTTCAAGCAACAACTGTATAACTAGAGAGAAACATAGTTAGTTGGACCTTCCTTGGTGATCAAATGTATGTCAAATCCCATTGCAGGAGGTATTCTTTTGGAGGATCTTCGACCTCACATCATATGGTACATTTGGCCCCATGGGCACAGCTCCTTGATGTACATCCAGTGGTTCGAACTTTGGAAGAGGTGTTTCAAGGGGAGTATGTGGCCATTGGTGGTGGAGGGGACTTTGTGCTGGGAGAGACCGATTCCCATCAACGCCTACATGTGGATTTGCAGCTGGAAGCAATGTATGACTCCGAAAGTCCCGCAGCTGTGGTGGCAAACTTTGTTATCTCTGAGATCAGCTGTGAGGATGGTCCCTTGAGATTGGTGCCCCAGACACAGAACCTCCCGCTGGCCGGCCGACTTGTGAAGGATTGGGGCTATGCTACACATTTGCAAAAGGAAGACCATATCTTGGCAGCGCAGAATCTTAGATTGGCTGAGGATTAATATTTTCCCATTGGTTGAATCTATTGGTCATATGCTTGATTTTTAATAGGTCCCTAGCCGACCCCTAAGCCCAGGAATTTGACCTACGTCTTCGCTTGTCCCTTGAGCCCGGGCGATGTGATCCTTCGTGACATGCGGCTCTGGCATGGTGGCTCCCCGAATGGGGGGAAAGAGCCACGATATCTGCCTTCAGCAGAGTTCCTGTCCCTCAGGCGGCTACTTCCCTGCTGGGTTTCAAGATGAAACAGATGTAGCCTGGTGTAGCAGTTTTTTGAAGAAGATGATAAGAAACGATTTTATGTTTTTATGAATATTCATTTGTTATCCATCGGTTATCATTGATCATTTGTCCATATTACTCCGTATTGATCAGTGTTTATCCACCAATCTCATCAGTGGCAATCAATGACCGTCTATAATGTGTCTACATCAATCTATATGACCATCTAGTGGACATCAATCAGCATTCCTGTCCCTCATTTTGCGGACAATGCATTGTTTGCCATAAATCCCTTGAGCTTCCATATCCTAAGAAAAAGAGCATCCCACTTTTCACAGTACAGTGAAGACCCGGTTTCCCTTTGACTGCATCGTCGGTGGCTTTTGACACCCGCTGGGTTTGTTACAGGATGTTAAGTACAGGTTTATATGGGATATTAATAAATAAACATTATGGGATAGGTGCGCATTGTTTAAAGATATTTCGGGTTATCGGCAGGATACCAAAACGATGTTTTCCTCCAAAAGCCTGTTTTCGGACCAAAAGCCGTTTTTCCCTGGGCCACATTCAGTGAGTGATTCGTACTTGGCAATATCATGAGTGATTAGCTGATTTTAATTAGTGAGATTCATCACTAAGATTCACTCATCTGGGCAACCCAATAATCAACCTACCCTTTGGTTTATCATTGGGATTAATCTACAATTATGACCTCAGGGCCCCCTGTGACAGGTACGCGGAGGCCACCCGGCAGGCACCGGAGGACCACTTCGCGCCGCGCCCGGCGCTGCCCTTTGCCAGCTGGCTGCGGCTGAGCCGGCGAAGCCAACGGCGGAGTCGGGCGATCCTGGCAGTGGAGCAGCTGGATGCGGCCGTGCGGGAGGAGTTTCTGCTGATGTTGCCCTATGTGGCGGAAGAACGGCCATAAGATGATAGAATAGTTGATATGCCTTGATGGAATGGTGATACCAAGAACTCAGGAAATGATGATTTGGTGGGGATGGAGCTGGGGAAGTCGCTCAGTGGATCCCGCAATTTCATGGCACATGGCCCTACAGTTCTGCAAAGGGACCATACAACAACCAGGTCGGTGCTGTTGACGAACCTGCGGTGCAGCAGACTTCCCTCCCTGGCTGAGAAACGAATTCCTATGAGTTCGTCAGCGAAGTAATCGATGTCGAGGGGCCAGTGATGCCTCTTGAGCTTAGCAGCCGTGATCAGAACCCAGCAGGATGAGAGGGCTTCGGCGAGCTGATCGAGAACTGCGGAGTGGAGTAAAAGATGTTGTTGTTTTTTATTTTTTATTTTCCCATGATTTTCTCGTTGTTGCCCTGGCTCCAAGTCATTCCTGCATGCTGAAACTCCAGTGCTCCCGTCGCAGGACAGGCTGAGCTTTTCTTCTGGTTCTGCTGTTGCAAGAGGCGGGACGTCATGAGTTGAGTAATGTCAACCCCGGATTAATAAACCATGGTTTATTAATTAGGGGGGTACTCCTCCAATAGTCATAATCCAATACTTAAATGGTACCACCCCAATCAACCAGCCTAAGGGTTTATTAATCCAGGGTTGACATTACAGATGCTGAGCTGAGGAAGAAATGACCAGAAGTGCCCATGTCTTCATCTGCAGCTTTGGATCAAGGCTGTGCCCAAGGTTGACACCAAGACCTGGATGGCACATGCTTGTAAAGGGGAACATGATCATCAAACATGAGACTTTGGGCTTCTGCAGCTGGTGTGCAATTTTCAGTCAAACCCATTCACGGCCTTTAGATCATCGCCACCATTGAAATTGAGAGCCGTCGGTCCACCATAGCTTCTGAAGTACAAAACTTTTGCAGATGACATAGTGTCCAGTCTGGGGCATGCGACGCGCACCCATAGTTATCATAATTTGGACCGTTCACAGCCGCCCCTGAAATTCTGAAAGTGACCTGCCAGGCATGGATACATTTGGATGATCATCAACACCAAGTTTTCCAGCACTCAGAAAGCCCATCCAAAAAACCTTGAAATCAACTCAGTGGCAGCTGCCACAAAGCTGCTTTCGAAGATGAGCGCTGAACAACTCGCGGACTACCGAAAACGGCATCAGGCTCGCATGGAGGCGGTCCGTGGGGATGTCATGATGTCATGAGCCACTTGGAAGTGGAAAAATCATGTGATGAAAGCTGGGATGCCAGATCTCCATAGATCTCCAACGGACTCCAACTCAGATGTTGTGTATGTTGTTGACCCAAAACTTGAAGTGCTTTCGGTGGGACATCACTCTTGCCACATCAATATTTTGACAGCCATTGGATGGAAAGACAGATGTCTTGGATGTTTTGGCAGTGACCACCTTTCGAAGTTACAACTCTCAACCATGTTCAGCGCCTGCTTAGCTCTGCAAAAGAAATCAGTCCATACAAATCCCAGAGGAGCTGCTCACAAAGGACAGTGGCCAATGCTAAAGTATCCCAACCCACGTGGTTTGTCCCACTTCACCGATGGCGCCAGGGTGAGCGGGAAGAGCGAAATCGCAGGAGATGGCGCCATGGGGGTGAAATAATTTGTGATATTTCAAGATGTTTCAAATATCGCCAAATATCTTTGAATTCCTGCCTGGGATGATGATTTTCAGTGATTCAATATCATAGTATAATTATATGTCAACGAGTATATGATCAGATTTTCAGTGATTCGTATCATCCATGATTTACATAATCATTGATGATTCATAATATATTTCATAATCATACAGCAGACTTTCTGGATGTTCTTAGGGTAATGCAACGGAGGGATAGTGCCACGTTCGCGGCGCGCGCCCGCCCAGGAGCCAGCTCTCGGGACCTTTGCGACCCTCCACCTGTGCGGAGGCGATGATTAAACAAAATGGATGACCTCTACAGCTTGTGAAGATCGTCTCATTATGCGGATACACTGTTACACACTGGTACACACATTGTACACATGGAATATGATAACATGGTGATTTTCCGTAGCTATTCCAGTTTTGGAACCATTTCTTGGAACCGCTTGATATTCTTAGCAGTGAGGGCACAGTTTGTATCACAGGGTAGTCCCCCCGACCTACCCTTTGGTACTCGAAGATGGCATTGGAACATCCTGATGATCTCCCTTCTGAAAGCTCAAACTTTAGGCAGCCAAGTTTGATTACCGGAAGATCCATCAGATTCCATCCGATTCAGGGTTTCTGAATTGCAAGGCCCTGGAGCGACAGTTGCAGAAGCAGGTGACGGGGGAGATGACTCCTGAACTGTCCGGAAACCCATGAGGTCATCCAAAAAATTACCGAAATCTGAGGAAATCAGTGGAATCAAAAGTTTCTCATGAATGCCATTGAATGCCCATGTGTTTTTTGGGCCTCGCTTGGTACTGTAGTTGAATATGGAGCGGGCTTCTGCCGTGCATCGCGCCACCTTCTAAGGCGCCATTCCATTTTCAAGTGGGCGTTGTTGTCCCGCTTGGGAAACGACGCGCGCTCCCCAGAAAGATGTGACATGATGTCGTGACATTGGCAGAAACCTGAAAGCAGCTGGCTGTGGCTCTCATGGTTCCACATATCGGTTCATTTTTCCATAGTTTTTTTCCCCCATTATATATGGATAAACACGGACCTATGATCCCATACCCACATGACTAGCTTGACGTTTTTTAGGATTTAGAACCCAAATATGTGTGAACCTGGCTGAACCGAAAGCCAGGTCTGGGGAGAGAGCGCTGAAGCAGTTGAGCCGCCAGAGACGGAAGCTCCACTGCTGGCCCTGCTGCGGGTGCTACCCTGCTTGGGTGGCATGGGTTGCTGGGATGGCACCATCATTTTTCCTCCTCAAATTGCCATAGGCTGGGGATGGTGAACTGGGCTGAATATGAACTGCCTGTGATTTCACCTCTGTTTATTACAAAAGCCAGCCAAAGGCTAGGCTAGAGTTGACGAACAAAGTGAGATTAGGGGGTCTGGGGGGTAGTGGCTGACGAGCGCAAATAGTGGTGATTAGGGCGTGCGTTTTGGTCGTTTTTGCGTGTCATGTACTCGTACCATGACGCAAATGTGTGATGGTGGGGTATCAATTCCACCTGGTTCGCATCTAGATGCCCGTTTGGGCCGCGCTGACACTAATATCTGCAGTGCTTGGTTTTGAAAGACATGGTTCCAAGACTTGGATTGGGGCCTTCCCTGAAGTCCTGAAGGCCCTGATTCTGTAGCTTGCTGTGCGCATGGAATCGCCCTAGTTGAGGAGAAAAGGATGGAAGTTGAAGTGCGACGGATTTTGAAGCACGTTTGAGTGTGGGATGTGGATCCAAGCTCAAGGATCTCCCGAGTGAAAAAGGTTGACATGGGCGTCTCACAGTGTGTTATCTTTAGATACCCAAGTTTCCCACAAGAAACGCAAGTATGATACAAATGGGCGGAGCGATGCATGGAGGTGTCTTGTCGCTGTGCCGGAAAAAAATAAAGACATGGTTCCCGAAATGGAAGCTTAAGATGTCCAAAAAGTGGTTCCTGAAATGAAAGCCTAAAATATCTAAAACATTGGTTCCTGAAGTGGAAGCTAAAATGGTTGCAAGCGCGTTCGCGACATGGAACCCTAAAATGTCTAAAAAATGGTTCCCAAAATGAAAGCCTCAAATGTTGAAAAAGTGGTTCCGGAAATGGAAGCCTAAAATGTCTAGAAAATTGGAGAGAGAAATGGCCCCTAAAAATAGCGACCCTCAACTCCATGTTTTTCCTCTCCTTGGTAAGAGATCAAAATATACCGTTCATCAATGACGGTTGATCACGGTGGAGCAGGGGTTAGTACTTCTTGATCTTCTTGATCAAACTCCTGTTTTTTCTTCTTGTGCAGAAGCCAGGTTCGGAATCTGAGCATTCTATTCACATGCTCTGGCGTCTGGAAGCCAACTACAAGAAACATCATAGCAGTTATCGTATTATTTTGGGGTGTAGTTATCATGTGCCACTAGCTCGCTCCGGCTGGTTCTTGGCCTGTGCCCCGAGGCACCATCCAAGCTGTTTGATGAGATGTACTTGGCGGAAGTTTGGCATTTAGTGTGAAGTTGGCCTTCGGCATCAAAAAGTACAAGTTATGTGAGCGAAACTCAGTTGAGCCAGCCATCGCATGCCATCGGAACATGCTGGAACATGTTAACATCATGGCTGACACACGTCTGAGCAGGCTTCCGTTCTGGGAGCTCTTTTCATGTTTCTGGATGTTGTCTGATGTTGTTGAAACATGCCAGGTTATGCCAAAACTACGCCACAAGGTACTAGTTATGTCAGTGACAATCAGTTGAGTCAGCCATTGGATCCTATCGGAACATGATGGAACATGTTAACATCATGGCTGACACACGACTGAGCGGGCTTCTGTTTTGGGAACTTTCTCATGTGTCTGGATGTTGTCTGATGTTGCTGAAACATGCCACTTGAGTCAGCCATTGCACCTATCGGAACATGCTGGAACATGTTAACATCATGGCTGACTCGCGTCTGAGCAGGCTTCCATTTTGGGAACTTGTTTCAAGTTTCTGGATCTTGTCTGATGTTGTTGAAGCATGCCAGGTTATGCCAAAACTATGCCAAACGGTACTAGTTACTAGTTATGTCCGTGACAATCAGTTGAGTCAGCCATTGGATCCTATCCGAACATGCTGGAACATGGTAGCATCATGGCTGAAAAACGTATGAGCGGGCTCCTGTTTTGGGAGCTTTTTCATGTTTCTGGATGTTGTCTGATGTTGTTGAAACATGCCACTTGGGTCAGCCATTGCACCTATCGGAACATGCTGCAGCATGTTAACATCATGGCTGACACACGTCTGAGCAGGCTTCCGTTTTGGGAACTTTTTTCATGTTTCTGGATGTTGTTTGATGTTGTTGAAGCATGCCAGGCTATGCCAAAACTATGCCAAAAGGTACTAGTTA